TATTAAATCATGCTCCCAAAGCATCCTTAAGCATTTCTGAGTAATTTGGAGAAAATTCATTTTTTGGCCAAAATCGAAAAAAAAGTAAGGCTAACCCCTTACATTTTTGTCAAATTTGGCCAAAAAATGAAATTTCTTGAAACTTGCTAGGAAGATACCTCAGGGTCCCTAGAACACGTTTCCACTCCTACATCGGACAGATAGGCCTTTAAAAAGGAAATATTGCGTCCACAATTTGAGGTAAAATAGGTCAAATACATGTATATGAAATTTTACCCAATAATGGCACAATTTTGACCAAAATTTAGCGAATTTTGCCGGTCTGAATATTAAATCATGCCCCCAAAGCATCCTTAAGCATTTCCGAGTAATTTGGAGAAAATTCATTTTTTGGCCAAAATCGAAAAAAAAGTAAGGCTAACCCCTTACATTTTTTTCAATTTTGGCCAAAAAATGAAATTTCTTGAAACTTGCTAGGAAGATACCTCAGGGTCCCTAGAACACGTTTCCACTCCTACATCGGACAGATAGGCCTTTAAAAAGGAAATATTACGTCCACAATTTGAGGTCAAATAGGTCAAATACATGTATATGAAATTTTACCCAATAATGGCACAATTTTGGCCAAAATTTAGCGAATTTTGCCGGTCTGAATATTAAATCATGCCCCCAAAGCATCCTTAAGCATTTCCGAGTAATTTGGAGCACATTCATTTTTTGGCCAAAATCGAAAAAAAAGTAAGGCTAACCCCTTACATTTTTCTTCAATTTTGGCCAAAAAATGAAATTTCTTGAAACTTGCTAGAAAGATACCTCAGGGTCCCTAGAACACGTTTCCACTCCTACATCGGACAGATAGGCCTTTAAAAAGGAAATATTACGTCCACAATTTGAGGTAAAATAGGTCAAATACATGTATATGAAATTTTACCCAATAATGGCACAATTTTGGCCAAAATTTAGCGAATTTTGCCGGTCTGAATATTAAATCATGCTCCCAAAGCATCCTTAAGCATTTCTGAGTAATTTGGAGAAAATTCATTTTTTGGCCAAAATCGAAAAAAAAGTAAGGCTAACCCCTTACATTTTTTTTCAATTTTGGCCAAAAAATGAAATTTCTTGAAACTTGCTAGGAAGATACCTCAGGGTCCCTAGAACACGTTTCCACTCCTACATCGGACAGATAGGCCTTTAAAAAGGAAATATTACGTCCACAATTTGAGTTAAAATAGTTCAAATACATGTATATGAAATTTTACCCAATAATGGCACAATTTTGGCCAAAATTTAGCGAATTTTGCCGGTCTGAATATTAAATCATGCTCCCAAAGCATCCTTAAGCATTTCTGAGTAATTTGGAGAAAATTCATTTTTTGGCCAAAATCGAAAAAAAAGTAAGGCTTACCCCTTACATTTTTTTCAAATTTGGCCAAAAAATGAAATTTCTTGAAACTTGCTAGGAAGATACCTCAGGGTCCCTAGAACACGTTTCCACTCCTACATCGGACAGATAGGCCTTTAAAAAGGAAATATTACGTCCACAATTTGAGTTAAAATAGGTCAAATACATGTATATGAAATTTTACCCAATAAGGGCACAATTTTGGCCAAAATTTAGCGAATTTTGCCGGTCTGAATATTAAATCATGCCCCCAAAGCATCCTTAAGCATTTCCGAGTAATTTGGAGAAAATTCATTTTTTGGCCAAAATCGAAAAAAAAGTAAGGCTAACCCCTTACATTTTTTTCAATTTTGGCCAAAAAATGAAATTTCTTGAAACTTGCTAGGAAGATACCTCAGGGTCCCTAGAACACGTTTCCACTCCTACATCGGACAGATAGGCCTTTAAAAAGGAAATATTACGTCCACAATTTGAGGTAAAATAGGTCAAATACATGTATATGAAATTTTACCCAATAATGGCACAATTTTGGCCAAAATTTAGCGAATTTTGCCGGTCTGAATATTAAATCATGCTCCCAAAGCATCCTTAAGCATTTCTGAGTAATTTGGAGAAAATTCATTTTTTGGCCAAAATCGAAAAAAAAGTAAGGCTAACCCCTTACATTTTTTTTCAATTTTGGCCAAAAAATGAAATTTCTTGAAACTTGCTAGGAAGATACCTCAGGGTCCCTAGAACACGTTTCCACTCCTACATCGGACAGATAGGCCTTTAAAAAGGAAATATTACGTCCACAATTTGAGTTAAAATAGTTCAAATACATGTATATGAAATTTTACCCAATAATGGCACAATTTTGGCCAAAATTTAGCGAATTTTGCCGGTCTGAATATTAAATCATGCTCCCAAAGCATCCTTAAGCATTTCTGAGTAATTTGGAGAAAATTCATTTTTTGGCCAAAATCGAAAAAAAAGTAAGGCTTACCCCTTACATTTTTTTCAAATTTGGCCAAAAAATGAAATTTCTTGAAACTTGCTAGGAAGATACCTCAGGGTCCCTAGAACACGTTTCCACTCCTACATCGGACAGATAGGCCTTTAAAAAGGAAATATTACGTCCACAATTTGAGTTAAAATAGGTCAAATACATGTATATGAAATTTTACCCAATAAGGGCACAACTTTGGCCAAAATTTAGCGAATTTTGCCGGTCTGAGTATTAAATCATGCTCCCAAAGCATCCTTAAGCATTTCTGAGTAATTTGGAGAAAATTCATTTTTTTTGCCAAAATCGAAAAAAAGTAAGGCTTACCCCTTACATTTTTTTTCAATTTTGGCCAAAAAATGAAATTTCTTGAAACTTGCTAGGAAGATACCTCAGGGTCCCTAGAACACGTTTCCACTCCTACATCGGACAGATAGGCCTTTAAAAAGCAAATATTGCGTCCACAATTTGAGGTAAAATAGGTCAAATACTTGTATATGAAATTTTACCCAATAATGGCACAATTTTGACCAAAATTTAGCGAATTTTGCCGGTCTGAATATTAAATCATGCCCCCAAAGCATCCTTAAGCATTTCCGAGTAATTTGGAGAAAATTCATTTTTTGGCCAAAATCGAAAAAAAAGTAAGGCTAACCCCTTACATTTTTTTCAATTTTGGCCAAAAAATGAAATTTCTTGAAACTTGCTAGGAAGATACCTCAGGGTCCCTAGAACACGTTTCCACTCCTACATCGGACAGATAGGCCTTTAAAAAGGAAATATTACGTCCACAATTTGAGGTAAAATAGGTCAAATACATGTATATGAAATTTTACCCAATAATGGCACAATTTTGGCCAAAATTTAGCGAATTTTGCCGGTCTGAATATTAAATCATGCCCCCAAAGCATCCTTAAGCATTTCCGAGTAATTTGGAGAAAATACATTTTTTGGCCAAAATCGAAAAAAAAGTAAGGGATACCCCTTACATTTTTTTCAAATTTGGCCAAAAAATGAAATTTCTTGAAACTTGCTAGGAAGATACCTCAGGGTCCCTAGAACACGTTTCCACTCCTACATCGGACAGATAGGCCTTTAAAAAGGAAATATTGCGTCCACAATTTGAGGTAAAATAGGTCAAATACATGTATATGAAATTTTACCCAATAATGGCACAATTTTGACCAAAATTTAGCGAATTTTGCCGGTCTGAATATTAAATCATGCCCCCAAAGCATCCTTAAGCATTTCCGAGTAATTTGGAGAAAATTCATTTTTTGGCCAAAATCGAAAAAAAAGTAAGGCTAACCCCTTACATTTTTTTCAATTTTGGCCAAAAAATGAAATTTCTTGAAACTTGCTCGGAAGATACCTCAGGGTCCCTAGAACACGTTTCCACTCCTACATCGGACAGATAGGCCTTTAAAAAGGAAATATTACGTCCACAATTTGAGTTAAAATAGGTCAAATACATGTATATGAAATTTTACCCAATAATGGCACAATTTTGGCCAAAATTTAGCGAATTTTGCCGGTCTGAATATTAAATCATGCTCCCAAAGCATCCTTAAGCATTTCTGAGTAATTTGGAGAAAATTCATTTTTTGGCCAAAATCGAAAAAAAAGTAAGGCTAACCCCTTACATTTTTTTCAATTTTGGCCAAAAAAATGAAATTTCATGAAACTTGCTAGGAAGACGCCTCAGGGTCCCTAGAACACGTTTCCACTCTTACATTGGACAGATATGCCTTTCAAAGGGAAATATGACGTCGAAAAATTTGAGGTAAAATGGGTAAATTTAGGAATTTTTAGCCAATAATGGCACAATTTGGGCCAAAATTAAGCAAATTTTGCCGGTCTGAATACTTAAACGTGATCCGTAAGCATCAATATGCATTTCTGAGTAATTTGGAGAAAATTCATTTTTTGGCCAAAATTGAAAAAAAAGTAAGGCTTACCCCTTACATTTTTTTTTAAATTTAGCTGAAAAATGAAATTTCTTAAAACTTGCTAGGAAGATGCCTCAGGGTCCCTGTAATGCGTTTTCACTTTACATTGGACAGATATGCCTTGCAAAAGAAAATATGACGTAGACAATTTGAGGTAAAATGGGTAAAATTTACAAATTGTTAGCCAATAATGCCATAATTTGGGTCAAAATTTTACAAATTTTGCCGGTCCAAATACTTAATCGCGATCCCAAAGCATCGATTTGCACATAAAATGGCCTTGTGGGGTACCTCCCATTGTTTCGGTACCCCATAAGGCAGTGTTTATACACGCACAGGAACTCGCGAAGGCAATATCCCCGTCAGGCTTAAAAGCCTGGGGATACAAACAATAACGCATTTGAATTAATACATTTAAAAGATTTTTTGTTAACAAAGTTCAAGATCAAGTAAAGACATAATCACAGCAACTAGTCTTATTTGATGACTGAATTCTTTTATTGGAATAGTTTGAATAAAATCACTTCACAATATCAATATATCTCCCGACATGACATTCCACAAAACAATCATAAAGTAAGGTTATCCTAGGACTTGATTAGATTCAAAGCATTGTTTTTATTTTCTGGTGGTAATTACCTTCATATTTGTATTTGTTTATTGAAATATCACTGTATTATACTTATATTATCCAACTTTGTATTGGTTTATTGCAGAGTGCTTAATAAATGTCAACTGAATGAAATTGAAATTGAAGTTGACACGGAACAATGGGTTACAATGAGTTTCATGCATAAAGTACCCCCTCAACGGTAAGACAGGGAGAGTTGGGGGAGACCACTGGGAGAAATATTCAAATGCATTCCTGAAAACAGCTGATGCTCACGCGAAGATATGCTATGGGTTTGCGCACATTCGGAAGAAAATAAGATTCACCACTGTCCATCAAATCCTGGGAATCCTAACAAGTCAATCAACATTCCAAGCAAGCACAAGTCTGACGTGTGTAATCTCTTCACATACCATCCTGCCCTAGTCTACCCATCTCGTCCTCTGTCAGCTCCATCCCGAGTTCTTTCTTCAGTTTGGCAATCTCCCGTAACTGTTCCTCCTTCAGCTTTCCTGTGAACTCCCACATCGCAATCCTCCGCTCCTGGATGGCCTGTTGCACCAGGGTCTTCTTCTCCAGTGCTCGTCTGGTGACCCGTCGGTTGTATCGGGGCGGTGGGGTGTATTCCAAGTTGAGTTTGTCAAGGAGCTCGTTGGCCAGGTCAAAGTTCCTCCTGAGGAGGATTTTGATGAATTTGCGGCGGCGGTCGATCATCATCATCAATTGGCGTTTGTTGCTCTTATCCTGTGAAAAAAATTTAAAATAACCAAACCCACATTTGCAAGTTGCTGCAAAAAGAAGTCAAATGTAGCATTAAAGCAGGGTGCGATCTTAATTTTTTTTTTTTCACTAGCCAGGTGGCCTACTGAAACAGACTCTTAACTAGCCCGCGAGCAATTTCACTAGCCCGCATGTTTTCTGTTCATAGAGTGTCCCATACACAACAATGTGCATAATAAAACGTGTATCCTGAGGCAATCTTACAATGTAACATGCTTCTAAGGAATAGTTTGACTAGCCCACCGATAATCTGACAAGCATTTGGCTAACTTTGCAAAAACGGTGACAATCCCACCCAAATTACTTCCAAGCGAAAAGGTTTTGTTCCGGTTCTGTTCCGGTGTGCTGCCAAGTGTACGCTTTTAACGACGGTCGCAAGCCTAGAATCTTGACGTTGAATTACTAGCATGAGCTGCGCGATGAGGACGGCACCATACTATTGCAGGAATGCGAATGGACAACGTTGAACAAACGAGGGTGCCAATTGGATACGACCATTTTGGCAGGTAGTGTGTGTAAAGGGTTACATTTTTCCTTGATCAGAAATAATGAATAATAATAAATAAAAAAAACACACCAAATTCGATAAATGGCTGATGAGAAACTAGTAATATACTTTCATTGGCTTTTTTTTATAATGTAGAATTTGTTGTCAAATCTCAAGTTCTTCTTACCCGTGGGAATCTCTCCATGTGTGGGGCCAGGTTTCTGATTGCAGCCGTCAACTTGGCAACTGTAAAAATAAACAAATCAAAGAAACACGTCAGAATTAAAAACAAAACAAAAGCATCACATGTACTGCATTGCAGGTAATGATGCAAGCAAGGCATGGGTAGTTTGCAAATCATGCAGAGCTTTAAAGCACCCCCATAGAATGCTTGGAAATAAAATATTCATCTAAACAAAATGGAGGCATGAAAACCCTATACAGCCATCTGCTAAAATGGGCAAATTACGGTCTACAAAAATGGGCCTTTGGAGTTGATGTCAACGACAGAACATATTACAGATATTCTACATGTACCATTCTGCCACAGGAAGGGAGCACAGACTACTTCACCTGAAGACATCCCCCACTCCCTGTCAATTCCTGAGAAAGAGGAGGGAAAAAATGTTGCAACCTGACACCACTTTTTTCTTCATATATCATCTCAATGAAGGTCATTCATTGCAAAAATTATGATAAGACATGAATCTGGGACTGAGAAACATTTCAAATTTTGTTAGGAAATACTTACAAAATTTTCTTTGACTCTCCACAGACTTTATACACAATTGTAAAAAAAGACATCAGGCGGCAACATTTTTTCCAAGGTTAGTTTTACGGCCTAGGAGGGACAACATTCCATCAGTGAGAATCTCATGTCACCCATGACCCGACAACGATTATTCCACACAGACATGCTCATGTGATGTCTTCAATAGGGCGGTGCCTGTCTGTCAGAAGAATGTTCCGTCGCGACGCAGAAGTAGAAATTCTTCTCTTGCGACGGTGAATTTTTTTTTGCACCAACTGATGTCGATTGTCTTAACATCATCACAATTAAACCCAGGATGGAAAAATTGCCAACTTATATGATCCCGACTGTCGTAGCTCAGGCGCAGCTTGATCCTGAAAGGTCATCGTGTGTCATCGCAAAGTTGACCTTACAAACATTTACAAACAGTAAATGACCTTCATCGATACTTACTGTTTGTTACCAGGAAGTTGGTGAATCCAATTTCTGCTTGATCAACTCCAACTTGCCCCAAGGTGTCAGCTTCTAGAACCTTCCTTATTTCACTCTGTAAAACAGGAGAAATGTCCATTAACCCTAACCGCCCTAACCAAATTCCTTCAAAATCCGCTTTGCCAAAGTGGAGGAATTAGGAGGATTGAGGTTACATACATGGCGAAAGTGCGTTACTGATTTCGTAGGATGCACTTTTTCAAGGTCTAGGGCCGGACCTTGTGTTGTTTTTGCTCAGCCATATATAAATACAGGCCTGGATTATGCTTGAAATCCTCCATACTGCTCCAGGATGTCACTGGCCAAGCCTCAACAAATTGACAGTCACTGCCGCAGGATTTTGCAGGATTCAGGCAGTGGTCACCCCTCCACTGACTATATTCAAGAAATAATGGGAGGATTTTGCAGGATTGCAGCTACATCCTTGCAAAAAGGCCTATATAGGGAGTTAAGGTTAACAAAACTTTTAACCATTTAATAATCAGTACTTTAAAGCACAGCTGAATTTAATTCAGCGTGTTATATCTTAGGCAGTTAGGGGTCGTTTCAAGTCAATTGTTATCAACCTCTGAGTTTTCACATGTTTGTCTCAAGTGGTTTGTCACAAAAGGCTTCCTTTTTTATTTCAAACGTCAAACTATTTCACATTTAGATAGGAAACACTGTCGCTATTTTCCATCACGCATGCCACTCACCCCTTTGGCAAATTCCAGACTGAAGATTCTTTTAACACTCTCATCAGCGCTGAAAACAGACAGTTTCAAAAGTAAATCAATAAATATAAATATGTATAATTTTAAGCACATTGCACATATACATTGTACATGTTGCCTAGGGGCATGTGAGGCCTAGTGGTTGGGATTTGCAAATCATGATCAGAGGGTCAGGGGTTCAAATCCAGCTGCTGGCCGTGTGTTGTGTCCTTGGGCAAGCCACTTCACCCCACTTGCCTCTCTCGACCCAGAGTATAAATGGGTACCGGCATTAGCTGGGGAGTAACCTGTGATGGACTGGCATCCCATCCAGGGGGAATAGAAATATTCGCAGTCATTTCATGCCAAGGAAACTGGACATAAACACTGGCCTGATGGGCCATATTGGCTTGTGACAGACTGCATGTACTTATGCGTAAGATTTTTAAGTGCTGTTGTTATTTGAATCAGGAAAATGCACAGAATCTAATGGAAAACGGAACAGAAATTTGAGCTTCAAATCAATTACATTCCCATGATGTTATATTTCCATGGATATTTCTTTCAATGATTTTCATGTTGTCCGGTCTTTTGAAGGGAAACAAAAAAGGTCACCTTTTATAATCACATTATCTCAAAAAAGAAAAAAAATAATAATAAAAAATAATAAAAATGTGTGAATGAATCATTAAATATTAAACGTTTACAAAAACAGACTTACTCCTGGAGTTCTGTGACTTCCTCAAAGCCATGCTGCAATCGGGACGGATCCAAACCCAAATACCTGTCAAAGGTTTCTGAATTAACAAAACAAAAACAAACTCTGTTGTATGAGTTTAAATCTAACTCATTTTACATATTAAATTTCAGTTACTAACAAGTGTTTTGATATTTAATTAATCCAAGTCCAATAACTTAACAAAGAATCAACAAAACATTATTAATTTTGGTGTGTATGGGGCGGGGCACTGTTCACAGTGAATGGAGGCTGTCGACGCTGTCAGACAATAAGTTGCACTTTTAGTCGTTGCACATTTGAATCGTGCCAAAAGAAACACCCTCTTGCCTAAAAGTAAATGTATGAACCTACCCCCCCCCCCCAACCTTCCCCCCCCCCCCACCCCCCGGGGAATTGGTAACCAATATCTTCCAAATATGACTTTTGCTTTTACTCATGTTCAATCTCAACATTCACAATATATCCAAAACAGAAAACTCAATACACCTTGTAAGACAGTAAATGACAGCCTACCTACGTGTTTTGTACATGTAATGCATGAACTAACGTTAGAATACTTCAATTCAGAGAGAAAATTAAACACGGATTACCTTTTTTTACTCTTCTGGCAAACTTTGATGTTGCTTTGGATGCAAACTGCCTAGACACTATGGAGATAATCAACAGAATATTGAATACTTAATCAGTTTTTTTAATACAGTGTACATGTACATGTAAATATTTGCAAATGGCTCAAAAAAGGAATTTTGTGACTGACATTAGGCCTTTAGCGTCTCATTATAACATACTACTGGTAAAAACTACATCTGCTACAATTTATTTAATTATTTAGACCAAAACACATGTACGTTGTAACTCAATTGGTTAAACGTACATGTAGCCATAGTGACAGTTGTTGATCAAGTTTTTGAAACAAATTCTTTTCCTTTTGAATTAACAGTTTTTTCTTCCTTCCAAAAACAAAGAACATTGCACAGCCCGTCCAAAAAAACTGCTGCAAGTAGATACACGCTCTGTGTCCTTGGAATATTAAAAAATGTTTCATGATGCTTATATAATGTTATTGTTAAACCTGGGATATTCAGCTTTCAAATGCTATTTATTTTATCAATTTTGCTTTTGCCAAACCAGAGTATGGTCCATTGAACACAACCGCCATGACCGCTGAAGAGTGAAGCGGTGGTCTGGATTACTACTTTTTTTAGACATTCTTTCCAATATCAACACTGGAAAAACTGTTGCAACCTGACGCCACTTTTTTCTTCATATATCATCTCAATTTTAAGGTCAGTCATTGCAAAAATGATAATAAGACATGAATCTGGGACTGAAAAACATTTCCAGTTTTGTTAGGAAATACTTAGAAAATTGTCTCGACTTTCCATAGACTTTGTACACAACCGCTGTAGCATGTGAAGTGGCGTCAGGACCCAGGTTGCAACATTTTTCCCTAAACAGTAACACTACAATAAAAAAGCGCATACAAATGTTCATGTCAAATGTTTACCTACCATTTACTTGACATAAAGGAGGGTGGTTACGTAGTAGGAGTAATCCCGAAGCTTCTGAGTTATTTTGCCAGCAATGATTTGTCACGTTTGTGCACGTCTTCATGGTTTGTACTAGTTGTACTGCATTCATCATGGTCGCGCGACTAGCAATATCAACCACTATTCTTGTTGTCACTTTTCGACATATTTGTCGACAAATCTCACTGGCACAGCCCAGTGCCGTTACTCTTCCGAACATAATTCAAGAAGGATTTGGGAACCACTCAATCAATATTATTAAAATATCGACTGAAAAATTATGAGCATTGAAGTTCAGCATTCACACATGGAGGCCGCCATCTTAAAACGCCAAACATAGCGCCCTCTGGAGATATACACTGTCCAAGAGTAATCATTTCTCTACAGAAAAAAAAATCCGGCCCGTCCGTTCTTGAACAATGTATTCCCTTTTTTGAAGTGGACCAATGATTGCCGTAGGAATATGATTGGAGTGGGTCTATTTCCTTATAAAAAAATGTGGGGGACCTTGTTGCTAATTTCTTGTTAAACATGTTATTTTATCAGGGCTACATATTTGATTTATTGTCTTAATATACCGTTCTCCCGCGTCTTTGAAAAGTATCCCAAACATAGTTTCGCAATTATTTTGATATCTTGTAATTTTTTTCAAGGAAAACGTTAATGGGCTATTATTAAGCTCTTTTTACACACCCTTCCCCCTAAAATGCAAAACAGCAAAATGAGTTGTTCGGATCACCATCCGTAAAGACTTCTGTCAACGCGGATCACGTACGATCTGCCCAAACGAAGTCGGCCTTAAGTGAACAAAAATAAAACACACTTGTGGAGACGGGTCAACCCACCTTGGAAATTCCTAGTTTTTGAGTAAAATCCATATATCTATTTCGTGAAAACCTTGTGGAGACCTATTCATCTATAGAAATTGCCCTGTGGAGACCTATACAATCTTTTGTTCCCTATTGTGGAAATGTCTCCACAAGCCTACAAATTTGCGCTCGACGGATGCCCGTTTCCCTCCGGAACAGCTCCGTTACACACACATTCATACAACCGACACATGAAATTGTTGACTGTCGAAATGGTTCTATCTTAAAGGGTTGTTCAATAGCTTTCAATTGATACCATAATTACACCTTTTTAGTCGCAGATGACTGAGCACCATTGATTGCAAAACAAAGGCCAAAAAACTCGTTTTCCAAGTGTGCTGAATAAATGGTGAGTTAAGCTGTCGGAAGAATGCGCTGTCACTGTGGACAGTGCCCTAAAAGGGTGTGACAGATAATGTTGTTGCATAAAATGGTACATAATAACGCTGTCCATTAATGATTGGTCGTTCCAAAGATTTTGTTAATCATCACAAAGCCAAACACCTACTTTTTCCAAGTTTACCTGATTCAGTGGCAAATTGAGCTGTCCAAAAAAGTGCGCCGTCGCAGTGGATTATGTGTTGAGTGTGAGGAGAGAGACATGTTGAAAGTGCTTGAGCATAAAATGGAGTATCAGTTTCATGATTAAAGCAATCATTTCAAAGAGATTTTGTTTACTCATTAAAATAATAACTACCTAATGCAAAAGTGTCCTCAAAACTAATTAGCCTGGGCGTTTGCCCAACTTGGCATGGTTTAGGCGATGCCCATTACAAGCTATGTTTTACCGATTTTTGATATTGCTAATTTGTGATGGAAGAGAAAATCTTTGGAATGATTAATAATTTATGGACAACATAAGGTACCGTTTTAAGCAACAACATCTCCAACAAAGGCCTACACCCTTTAATGCACTGTCTACAGCTGCGACAGGGCAGTCTTCTCTGACAGCTTAACTCACCACATATTTCAGTAAAATTGGAAAAAGATGTGTTTTTGCCTTAGGTTTGCAAATAATGGTGGTCATGACAGCCATCTGTTACTGAAGAGGTGTAATTGTGGTATCAACTGAAAGTTAATGAGCAAACCTTTAAGGTAAAAAGATCGTGATGTAGGCCGTGAAATAGACTCCAAAGAGTGACATACTAGGTTCGATTACAGATTTTCTATGCTCGATTTTATTTTTAATTTCATCAATGAAAACCCATCAGCTAAAGACAACTATACAATGACTCTCATGCCTATCAATATCGTTATCCCTGGAAATTCAAGATCAACAACTTGCAATCAATTTTGTCAGACACAAAGCGCAGTCAAGGCCATGTTAATTCTTGATACCCATTCACAGTTCTCATATCGTCTGGTTTTACATCATAATTCCACGACGTTGTTTCGACTTCAATGTAGAAAGGCCAGCGACCTTCAAACATTTTATCACTTGATCTGGCCTTAAAACATTCAACGAAAAGGCCTATTTAGGAATCGGGCCCAATTTCTGAACCTCATTGTGGCGTTAATGAAAACAAATTCTATACCAGCCTGCCTTTTACATCCGAGTGTTGTAGTTTATGGGCATAAAGAATTTAATTTCAGTTTAAAAGTTTGGTGTTGATCACATTATTTTTCTTTGATGTCAAGGGCAATTAAGCACCTTGAATTCGCCTTTGATTTGTCATACTTAATTATTCGATACACGTACAGGTTCAGTTGAATACCATAGTAAACCAACCATTTACATTCTAAGTGCAGCTCACGACGTTGTATGGTGCGGAATATGGAAAAAAATGTATATAATTAACCTTGTTACTTCAACATCTATCACGCGATAACTCATAACATTGAATTGAACTTCTTGTGTAGGTATTTTTTTCACAAAGTACACTAAATCAAATTATCTAAAACGTACGAAAGCATTGTTTTGAGAGTAGTACAGAGTGAATTCTGCCTCCCACCGTGACGAGGCACTACGGCGACGAGGATCGCAGACTAACTGCGACCCTTTACAAAAAAGCTATTAAGTTAAAGTTTAAACTAAATTCTCTCAAAATAACATGTAACAAATCACAGGTAACGCGGTACCCTAACGCGATCTATCTGACCGTTACTCATCCTCATCACTTCGTCTGTAAAGCGATCACTGATATCCACATAAGGCACTTATACATATACCTTTAATCTAATAGCATTTTAAAAGCTGATTTAAATCTACATGGGACAGGACACAATAATTAAAGGTCATTCATAAATACCTAAGACAGTTTACCCATTCCAATTGGTCGAGAGCCCGTCACGTGGCCGGTCTTAAACGGTTGATAAAGACCTGCTGCACGGAGGTGTTTAAGACCGGCCAGAAATGAAGGTGGCCCCTGAATCAGGACAATAAATTTGTGCTTTCGAAAATGTATTGTTTAGAAGTTGTATGTTTTGAAATTCGAAAAACAACAACTTTTGGAACATTTTATCAATTTGTCTACGTTTTTGACCAAAGAGGTATTTATGAATGGGACTAAATATGGTTGACCGGTTTAAACAGTATGTTTAAGATCGGTTTGGAGTTTGGACGCTGATAATGGCCCCAGCCTTCGCTCGTGTCACTATCAGCGTCCAGACTCCAAACCGGTCTAAAAAATACTGTTTAAAACCGGTCAACCATTAATTCCCTTTTTAAGTCGAAAAATGGCCCTCTTCATGTCTGCCGCTGGGGGCGCACTTTAGTATCTGCAACCAAGTAATTCAAATCGCATGCAGATGTACCGACCCCAGGCAGTAGGCTGCAGGCGGATGTACCTCGCGTAAACAGCCGTCGGGAACATGGAGGTCTCCACAGTGTAACGGTCGGGTGGTCCATTGAACTGAAAAGTCAAGAAATAGTCAACACTGTTCTATCTTGTCTAAAACCTCGACACTGCTTGACGGTGTTTTCCTAAAATAAAATCTGATCTGGTCTTAGTCTAGTAGACAATTGGGCAAGCCTGTGAAGCTGGTCTTTTCACGCATCTGTGTACACAATTGGCCGGATTTAGCCCATAGGGTGGCGTACTGGGTAATCCTAAACGATAACACTACCCGGCTCACAGGATGTAGCCAGCCAGCCAGCAGCCAGTCAGCCGGGGAGCCGGGCGGGGAGCCAGCCAGCCAGCCAGCCTGTCGGGGAGAAAGACGGGGAGTCAGACAGTCAGTCAGTCGGGGGCAAAGAGCAAGGACACTATGGGACCAACCACTGCAGAACTTACCACTGCATCTGCTGTCCCTGCTGCATTTTGCACCGCAGTCCAGGTAACGCCATCATCACCATACAGAACTTTATACTCGTTAATCCACACGCCATTTGCAGAGGCTGGTCCGCACTGTACTCCCGTCACGTACACCTTCCCGCCAAAATCAACTTGGACCCATTGATTGGCGTCAATGTTGCCGAAGCACAAACCTTTATGCAAAAGAAAACGAATCAAGACAGAGTCATGACCAGCCCCCAAAAAAAGTTATTTCAGTCCAACATGGATAATGCCTGATAAAAGTATTTTTTGAAGAATAATTATTAATCAATCCGTCTCCTTCAGAAAAATACATAGGACATCATATCAAAATCCTATGGAAATAGAGCTAATACTGTTAGGGTTGGCATTTTTTTTGGGCGGGGGAGGTTCGCTGATCAAGGCCTCAGTACAGTAAGCCTTTCATTAACACTTTTCCTTGAAGTTAAGCTTTCGGCAAAACCTAAAACTGAGGAAGAACTCTGCAGTGAAACAATAATATATACACAAAATAACAGGTACATGTAATTACAAAAAATTGCATGTTTTACCGTTTTGATTGATTCGGATCGAGCCAATCTGGAATCCATTATTGGACGAGACACTTATCTTGTTGTCTGGTATCAAACCACTTGCCATGCCCATAGGACCATCGTTAGCGGTGTTACAATCTGAACACAAACCGAGAAATAAAACTTGAATGAAAATCTGTCCCCGTGTAAATAAGAACATGAAAAGGTGTTAATGGTAGACATTATTAATACATAAATATATATATTTTTTCGTTATCGTGAGTTGACTGGTGGGACTCGAACCCACGATTTTCTTCAGAAGAACTCAAAAACTGAAAATGTATAACAATGATGTTTAAAAAAACATTTAGACGCAAATTCCATCAATTTTGTTCAAAAATCATTCTCAAGAATTCGAAACAGTCAGATTTTTTCTATTCCCCCTGGAAAACTTACCACCAGTGATCAGAGTTGTAAGCTCCATTTCTGTTGTCTGTGTACTAGTCTGTGATATAAAAATATTCAAAACAGTCAAGCGCATCCAAATATTTGTGGTTTTGACAACGTAAATAATCATCATGATGTTACCATGGTTACTTATACTGCGGAGTAACAATAGAGCTATATTAATACATAGCTGCTTGGGAGTAATTAAAGTTCCGTCAATCCTGTGCTCACAGACGCGGAAGGTAATTGTGTCGCTTTTCACTGAATTTTGCGCAATCAGACGGTCGGCCTCCATTAAACGTTAACGATCAATATCTTATATGGGTTGCTTATTTGCTGTCCGGTCCGTTCTCATTATTGCTGTCTTTTAGCAATTTATGAATTAGGCGATACTGCTCAATGTAACATGTATTGCATGTGGTAATTTAACTTGATTAAGGTATATGAATTAAAGTCGAAGTCGTCCGAGGTATTGTACATTTTCACAAAAATATGTTTTTGTAATCTGTTTTCATTCACTTTTAGGGAGCCAGACGGCCAATTTTGATTTAACATTAACATAAAAACAGTAAAGTGCTTCCAAATACTAAGGTTTCGGCATCATAAACATTCACCATGATGTGTTACCATTGTTCCTCATACTGCAGATTAATTCAAGTTCTGTCAATACTGTACTCACAGACGCAGAAGATAAATCTGTCGGTTTTCATTGAATTTTGCGCAATCAGACGGTCGGCTTAGATTAAACGTCATCGATCGATATTTTGTTAAGTTGTTTTATTGTCTGGTCTGTTCCCATATTTCTGTCTTATATAGCAATTGATGTAATTAGCGATACTGTTTAATGCAGCCCATTGTACCAGGATTATCCAACAGGGCGTTGCGTAGGCTCACAGGTTACAAGCGGAAGAGATGCAGAACCTGTATGGCCTGTGGTAATTGAACTTGATTAAAGTATATGAATTAAAGTCGAAGTCATCCAAGGTTTTGTATATTTTTACAAAAACGTACAGGGTTTTGTAATCGATTTTCATTCACTTTTGCGTAGCTAGACGGTCATTTTTTATTAAACATGTGCCCGATCGATTTTGTATGACCTGTTCGTTGATTTAACGGGCCATTCATATCATTAATGAAGCTATTTAATGTTTGGCCTATGGATGGCTTTTAACCTTTGACGAAAAAGGTATCAAACTCCATATTCTCCAGAATTATACTTTGGAATTTTAATCAACTTCAGGGGGAAAAAATAGAATTTGAATATTTATCTGTAGGCCTACATTTTGTGAGACTTCCAAAAATGTGGGTTTTTGTTTTAATTGTTCAGACGAATAGAAAAGCGATTAGTATGTCATGAAGTTTGGAATAGTTTAAACTTTGGAATGAAAAGTAGGCGACTTTGTAGCGTAGGGCCCTCTTTGGTTTCGACCAATTAGAGTCAAGGGTGTTTTATTATTATTCCAAAATGACTTTTTCAACTAATAACAGACATCTCTTAATTCTAATGACAAACTTACAACAGACTTCTCTTAATTGTAATGACATTTTAGTGATTTTAAACACTTTCTTGTGGTAAAAAAAAAAAATCAGTTTTCTTACGTATTTTCCAGTTGGTGTCATGCGAATACACGCGGTTTTGCGTGTTGACTGAGCGTCGCTGGGATCGCCATCTCTATTTTTTCCGAGTTGCGTTCTGTAGTCTTTATGGTCGCTTTACCCAAAAATGTCCCTCAATAAAACCATGTCATCTATCTACGGTAAAGGTACCTATTGGTTTGTAGTCCATGAATATCAGTAAATATTTGTGTCCCTTATATGGTTCAGGGCCCTACACTACACAATCGCCGAAAAGCGAAACAATTTAAAAAAAATTGTTTTTAATTAAACAAGTGAAAAAAACTTTGATTTTGACCTACCGTATATTTGGCTGTAGTCTGAACACCCAATCCATTCAAATCCTCCGCTTCGAAGTGTGTGAAATTCCCACTCGGCTGAAAATCTCCGGGAAAATCATTCTTGCCCGCGTCGGAAAGCTGACACACCCGGCTGACACGGCCGAAGTTGAAGGAGCGGCACGCCGCGTGCTTGAGACAAGAGACGGAACATCGGATGGGGGATTTGCTCGCAAATTCCTCGATGGTATGATGCAGCAACGCCCGCTTCTCCGTTGCGACAAACGTGCGCTCGGAGTCACGATAAACACATTGCGTCGACACCGCTATCCCTGCCGCCAAGCAGATCCAGAAAAAGATCCACCCGGTCAATTTTTCCATTTTGAGTCTCATACTTCGTTTATCATTTGTTCCCAGTTTGTTTAGATTAAAAGTATCTGCAAAAAGATGGAAATCCCTGCGCGCGTTTTGAATTTGTTATGACAGAATGTGTTTGTTGGACAGAAAACAGCAGTTCGTTTTCCTACTGTTCAAATGTCTGAAGCACAATGGGGAGGACCGTGCCTTTAATACTTGGCAGGTCGCCTGGCAACAGCCGCCTACGTGGGTTTTATTCCTAGGATGGTTAGGGCCAATCATGAATAATTCAGTATTTCGATGGGGAAATTATGCTTCTTCATAAAAACAGAACAATAACATCAACAGCATTGTTATTATTTAGTCAACCAGCTGATACATTAAAGCATTTTAAAGAATGGTTTTCGTTGAGTTACAGTAGCCAAGTGGATAGCGAGATGAGCTATGGATAGAAAGATTTCCGGTTCAAATCCACACCCTCGCTACTTATTTTCATCGACTATTTTTCTTCTCCAAATTTATTGTTGAGATAATGTTAATTTACGGGAGAAAGAGAACGAGAACTTATGTCTTGCAATGATTCAAATGAAGAAAATATTTGTTCATGGCATTACCCCTGACCCTCCTTGGAAAGAAAAATACGCCGGTCACTCTGCAGGGTGGGTGAATGCGGTGGTGGGATTGGGGTGGGGGAGGCGACATCAAGCACACCTTAGCATCCTCCCTGATGATTTTAACCGTTGTAAACGGTTTTTGCTCTAAGGGCCTAAAGTTCTTCTCTACTTCTTTTTGTCCCCTCTAAGATACAGTGCGGGTCAAAGGTCACCCTCGAGAAACTTCTGTGACGGCGCACGCACAGAGTGTCCATAAGAGTCAAGTTATGCACGTCGCCTCAATAATGCATCTCTGTACACATTAAACTTTGTGAGAAAGCGAGCTCGGTGAGGACGCAAAACACTGCCGTTCATAAAATTAAGGCAAGAAAATGTCAAGGAAAGTTTCACTCACCAATCAGCAAGTGTTAAATTATCCTCTCAATAAGAGATGTCCATTACTTTCATGCAAGACTTCTTGCAACACTGCCAGAGCTTATTGCGCACTCGCACTTGTCTCTTAATTAAGTCGGGTCTTGCTCCCCGAATTGCGAATAATATGTACAAACTTTGAAGCAGTTTCATGAGCGGTACTTTATTGTCCTCATTCAGGGGCCACCTTAATAAATGGCGGTTTCCAACACTAATAGCGGTTTAAAAATCACCCACGTGACAGGCTCTCCAATCCATACGAATATAATAGCTGTATCAGGCAAGTTATGAATGTCGGTTAATTCAACTCGCAAACTCAATGTTTAACTGGAGTGAACACAAAAGGGCCAACAATGCAAACAGATCGAGGTGTCATAATCATCGTTTGTACATTTTTATTAAACATCGTAAAGTCAAAACTAAAATTACTTAAATGATAATAGTTTATATTACAGCGCTATTATTCCTATAGGGACTATACGATCTATTCTTATTTTTTTCTTCCGAGTCCTGGTTTGAAGTTTACTTTACAACAGCAAAGTGCACACAAATATTAAAAGAAAAAAGTGCGTCCGCGAGTGTGCAGTGGTAGCATGCATGTCTGAAAAGGTGTACTTGCATTTGTAAAATATAATCAAATCCCTGTAATCCTTAAACAAAACCTCATCTTGCATAAAAGGAAAGAATGTAGCATGGATACGCCACATCAGCGGTTGTGTACAAAGTCTATGGAGAGTCAAGACAATTTTCTGAGCATTTCCTAACAAATCGGAAATGTTTCTCTGTCCCAGATTCATGTCTTTTTAAGATTTTTGCAATGACTGATCTTTATTGGGATGATTGTGAAGAAAAAGGTTTGCCAGGCTGCAACATTCCTTTCGCATAAAATATGATGCCCGTCATGAAGTAACAGGAACGGTACTCTGTTTTTGGTTGAGTATATACATACAAAAGATCACAACTTTTGCAGGGGCGGATCCTGCATTGTCCAAGGGGGGGGCGTGAAACATGTAAATGCTTTGTTTCTAATCGTTCAGGCATCAGACTCCGTCCACCACAGACAAACTCACTCCGTTTTCCACAATCTTTCGTCCCAAATTCAATCCATCTCTTCAATCACTATAACCAGGCGGTAAAATGGCCACAGTGGTTTTAAAGTAATATGAGTATTTTAATCACATGTACATGTGCTGGCTTTAATATAATACGTATATAATAAATACATTTTGAAGTAGTAAATCGTAAGTATCAATTGAAAAAAAAAATCATTTCATCTTATTTTTCAATCTATTACTTAGATGTTTGTTGTATTTTGATTTATAAAACAGGTGTTTGATGTAATATGAGTGTTTTAATGTAATTGTGTTGCCAATGAAATAGGATTATCCTATATTGCGTATTTCTATATGCAGACAATAAAGAATCGTTATCATCAGTATCTTTATTTCTTCTCTTTTTGAGTCTCTCTCCCTCCGTCCATATCTTGTGGTTTTTTTTTGCTTATGAAAAGGGGCGAGCGTGCGCCCCCTGGATCCGCCCCTGTTATTTCATCATACTTGTTTAAAATTCGAAGTTAATACAAATTTTATAATTAAAAGTACCCCATCTGTATGCCAATGATCGGGCAGACTTCACAGGGATGCTCCTCATTTTAGACTACAGCTTTGTCACTAAAGTACAAAAGATTCCAGTACAACGTTTACGCATTGACATTAATTTGAAACTAACTGTGTAATACATATGAATGCCACGATTTGCCTATAACAGCACTACGCACGGATTTAAAAAAAAATTGAAATCGTCCTACATATTAAATGTGACTGATTTGGTATTGAAAATGCAGCATTAATTTGATTAGAAAACAAAGTCCTGCATTAAAACAGCTATCAGCAAAAGCCAAAGGGGTGTCAGACGATGAATTCTATTGGCCGATCCAGTACCACAGGGATCAGGATCAGACGGAGACGGATCAGACGGAGACGGATCAGACGGATTAGGCGGATCAGACGGATCAGACGGATCGACGAATAGGATTCTTCGTTCGAGGCCGGGGGTCGCCGGGGTAATCCACTGGATGTATTCACTTGCAACACTGGAATCCAGATTACCTTTATTTCAAACAAAATGACAAAACAATCAACAAAACATTTATAATCCCTCCACAACATTCCCATGAGGTGAATTTCCCTTTTAAAATCCTGGGCCCTTTAATCATACCAGGTTTTCGATGTATATCTTTGACTGAGCCCAGTGTAACATTATCTGTTTAATCTCTTATGGCAATCAGTGACACCAGAGAAGGCCAGTCCAAATCTACCTTTTCGAACCCCATACGTGTTACATGAAAAAAGGCACAGTCCGAAAAATTCATGATTTTCATTGTTTGCGCATCAATTTTCTTGATCAAAGAAAGAAAACATGGTTTCATTACCCGACAAAAACAAATATCACACTTGATATTCAATTTATGAAAAATCTAGGTGCGTTTAGACCACTAAAGAATGATTCAGGCACCCTGCTGGTGGTATAGGTATTCTTTAACTGCCCTGAAAAGATAAAATCTTGAGAGTATAGAGATACGAAAGCCTGGTTGAGACTTGATGAAAAACCCGACTTATGGCCTTATATTCGGGTTTTCTTTTAAAAGAAGATTCGCGGCATGACGTGGAAATGGAGACTCTAACTTCGGCGATTCACAATAGCACCTACTTGGATCATTATAAGAGAAATAAACCTTGAAAGTTGCATGTAGATACGGTTTACATACGGTGAACATGTTTGTGAGCAGGTAGTTTCTTTCAAAATAGGCTGATGAGAAGGCAGAAAATAGGCATCTTACCATAGTCGTGCTCAATGACATTATCCCGTATCATTGAGTAGCCATCCCCACCGCCGACAATATACGAAGGCATGACAACTTTGTAGACCTTCTCGAGGTCCAAGGGCACGAACTGTGGCACCTCGCACTCTGTACAACGAACCTCAGCATTAACCACCCGACTGCCTTTAGTTTGAGAGAGGTCATAGGTTACTATCATTCCTGAAATAAAACGGAAATGACGTGGGCACGGTTACCAAAACGAGGGATTTAACGCTTCAATAAACAAGAAGTCTTGAAAAGGGTGAAGTAACATCCAGTTGAACCGATATAATAATGAGGATTAACCCCCATCCTTGACTTTTTGAGTTTTATATACCATGTAAATAACGACTAGTTTTGTAAAGATACCAAATTTGTTTCTGTAGCTCATTTACTTTCAAAGATATGCCGCAGAAAAGTAGGTAGTGCATTGCCGAACGCATGATTTTACAAGGTTTCATAATCATAACGTCATCAGACCGGATGTTACCATAAGACGCACCTGAGAACTGTAAGAACCTTCCAGGTCGCGACACTGGGTCATACTCGGCTACAGAATTCTCCAGAGCTTCCATCAAGTACACGCCTTTAATCGTCACTGTATCAACCGTGCTTCCGAATGGCGAGACAGTTAGGACGTCACCTATGGTAATGTCACCTAATTTGGAGAAAACAAAATCCCATTGTTTATCTCGTCAGACTTCATAATATAGGTTTTCCCGGCCAATTTCATGAAATGTTTATTCACTTCTGAAAATCGGTCATTCCTTTTCGTCTAAAAAGTACACGTCTTTAATCCCATTTCAATTCAACGAAAGTTCAATCGTTTTTATTGTCCCTGCATTCGGTTTTGAGAATTACAGATGGCCAATTACACATTCATTTAAGCAAGTATACCTTTTCTAAATTGATTTCAGATACAGCTAATTTGATTTATGCTTTATGAAAAGAAGCCCCTTATTGTATCTGGTGCCGATGGCATTAAACTAAAAGTGAAATAGAATGGTGAATGTTTAAAATCGCCCTCTAAAAGCGAAAAAGAAGTCTTGTTAAAGAATCTGAACGGATTGAACTGAAATGGAATCGAAAGCTCTAGTACTAGTGAAAATCAAATGCATGTTCAGATCGATTCTCGAATTCAGCCGAAAATGAATGACTGATTATCAGAAATTAGCCGGGAAAACCTAAATAGTAATAATAATAATAACAACAGGTTCTTATATAGCGCTTTTAAAAGATCAAATCATTTTATATCATTATTATCCCTGATCACTGGTCCAGTTAAACATTCCAAATACCATCTCAGCTCCCTGGGGAGCATACAGCTCGATGCTACCATGTCGGTGCTATAGGCAGCTACAATAAATCACAATATAACCATCTCTGCCCTGACAGGTACCCATTTACTCCTTGGTGAGGGAGAAGCAATGCGTGCCAAAGTGCCTTGCCCAAGGGCACAGGCACCATAACCCCAGGCTGGACTCATACCCACCTACCGAATTACCCGCGGACCACGAATTCAATGCCCCAGACCACGAGTTCACTTAAAAAAATACTACATTGTACCGACTTAAATGAAACGTTCCAACTTAGTTGAATTCGATTCAGGAGGGATGGCAACAATTCAACTTTTTGTGACTATCGTTAATACGCCTACCCTGATACAGCGTGGCCCGAATGCTCCCGCCATTCACGATCGCAATACTGACGTCATTCCATTGTAGTTCATCCGGGAACCTTATGGCCTGTCTGACGTAAGCATCGGCAAGGAAGTTACCAAGGTTACACTCAGCCAATCGGCAGCTTCCATCCAGTAAGACGTGCGTTCGACCGATGTAGACGTTGGAAAAATTCCTCACTGTCTCCGCCCATTTCTCTATCTCTTGAAGAACATCCGCCGCTGATGTAAACAGAGATTGAAATGTATTAGTCTACGGGGTTTTTTTTACAAAGGATTTAAAGACACAGCACATGTATTTGTTTTTATTCGGTGAAATAATAAAAACAAAAACAAAAGAAAACAGATAAACGGACAGAACATTTTGAGCATACGATGTCATACAAATGAAATTACATTTCGAACAAACGAACCCAAAGTATTCACCCGCCACATCAACATCAGAAGCCATTGAATTAGTCACCTCTGAGCGCGCATCACGGTCTATTTTCAAATTGCTGTTTAGCTCTAGCTGTCCGTGGACGGTGATTGAGCACACGATCGATTATCAAAAGATTTACTCTTGTCTGACCACAAAAAGTACGCAAAATCAGTCCCGACGAAGGTAAATTTCAAGCATTTTTGCTGCAAAGGTTTTAAATTTTGAACAGTATTTTTTCTCTCTTTAGTGATATTTGCCAGAGGCACCTTCAAATTCAGCAAAAATCGAAGCTCATCACCACGGAAACTGCACATTAATATTCTGGTGCGGCCTATTGCCATTTTACAATAGGCTGGTTAACTGCGGGTAAACATTACCGTTGTGATTTTCAATTCAGGAGGCGGGATTCACTTCAGACATGCACGTCATGCATTTCATTTGCATACATCAGGGGGGATGCTTCCTGATGCATGGAAGATTTACCGATAGCGTCCTGTCCCTATATGTGAAGTCTGAATGACAATTGGGACAGGGAACCAGACTACTAAGACAGTTGACAGATAATTACCTTGCGGTACGTTTTCGTCCAGCAGTATGGGATTGCCTCCCCATTCCGTTACGTTACCATTGTCATCAAAAGTCACATCCAGGCGCCCAAGGTACTTGCCAAAGGTGTAATCCTGCACGACTAATACGTTGGCTGTAGCGTCGTAGTCTGGGTGCACGACTGTTGGATAGTCACCTTCGGGCACCTCCGCTGAGGGCGCACTACCTGCACGCAAAGCATAATAGTACGGAAGCGAAAAGTGGCCATTTAATTTATCTCAGAGAGGTGGAATATAATTATTCTGAGATACTTATAAGACGTCTTTCCCGGATATCTTACATAGAAATGACGTCTTTTCCTGGTATTTCAGGAAGACGAGGATCAGGACAGGACGTTTTCCCAAGAAGGGTATTTCAGGGAAAGACGTCTTTCCAAACAGTGAGGAATCTAGGAAAGTCGTCTTATCTTGAAGAGCGAAGTATTCCATATGTCATAATTTTATTTATCAGGGAAACATGGAAACGTAGATGGTCACTTTAAGCTTCCGTATAACAATGTGATCCTCACCAGTGTATAGGAAGGTGTTGGTGTGACCGCCAATCACAATGTCCACTCCCCGTACTTTGCGGGCAATCTTCAGGTCTATATCAAAGCCTGCGTGGCCTAGTGCAATCATCTTGTCGATACCATACTCGGTTTGCAGTCTGTCCACCTCGGCTTGTACAGCGGTGACTTCGTCGCTGAATTCCAACTTCCCTAAAATAAGGAGCCCCCCAAGAGAAACAATTTTCGAATTATTACCAATTCACCAAATAGAGCCACAGTCGATCACTTTTACGTAAGCTAAAATATTTAAACGTAACGAACCTAAATAAATACCAATAAGCACTATTTATGTACAACTATAAAGTCAATTTACTGCCCATTTCCTATTCAAATATGTTGTACTTAACTGTAATTTACATTACTATAACAATTTCCACACACCACAACATAGAACATCTGTCTTTCAATACATTAAATAATCCAAACCGAAATTATGGAATAATCTATCGTTCTCTCTTAGATGCTCAATGTCATATATTTTGAAATGCAATCCCAAATTGAACCTTTTGAAGGTGTGTGTTCTTTCAGAAAACCGAAAACAATTCACATATTACAGTGAATTGTTTCATTTTACTGAAACAACACTTACTTTTTTGTGATCCGTGGACAGAACCCTAGAACGGGGTTTGTGTTTACAATCCGTAACTTGAAAAGTACATAAGTGATTGGAATGATTATTGTACTATATAAAAAGAAAGCTTATCAATTGGGCTTTCTATGCAATATTTTGAAAGTGCTACACATGCAGAATTTCATTAACAAATTGTTCATGCACATCTCTCTCACACTCACCAGTTGTGGAAATTTCTGGAGTACGAGCGTACGTATACCCGACGATTCCAATCTTCTGTCCACCCACCGTAAGCACGGTGCTCTTGTGAAACAAGCCGTCGATGGAAGGTTCCAAACTGGCGTCGATATTAGAGCTCAGAACTGGGAAAGGGACATCCGTCAAAAACTGACTGAGTCCTTCTGGAGCGTTGTCGAACTCATGGTTCCCAATTGCCTGAAATATGTAAAAATTGTACTTCAATACAGCCACGTATGGAATATACCTTTGCAAATTTCGAAAAGGCCAAAATGTCAAAGAAATACTCCACAAGGGGTTGAAACGGCCCCACCCCCAAACAAAAAAAGTTGTCTATTTAGTCGGTAATCGCTATCCTTTGTATGACAATTATAAGCTACGTGTATATAGTTTTACGCCAGATGCGGCCAAGAAAATGTAGTAATGTAGTTATAAGGCCGTTATCAACAAGGCAGTGAGAGGCTACTAAAAAGGCAGTAAGGCTACTAAATATTTATGAGGTGTAGGCTAGTAAAACAAAATAATACAGTATGGTTTATTTCTGGAAAATGTCAAGCTGAACCAGTAATTCCCACTACTTCCCCTCAAACCATGCGGTATTTGTATATTACTACACCTCATAAATATTCATAATGAAATTGGAGCACGTCATTTGCCGATTCCGCCGCGGTCGCGAGGGCAAGGGAGCGCTTGCCCCCCCCCCCCCCCCACAAGCCAAAAAAAAAAAAAAAAAAAAAAAAAAAGGAGAAAAAAAGGGGGAAAAAAGAAAAAGAGGCGCGAAATCATATTGTTGGTAATTTAATGGGTTGGATGGGGGGTGGGGGGGGTGGGCAAATGTCCCTGCCCATCCTCGAAAAAATTATCAATCGGGAAAATGTTGGAAGATAATAGGGATTTTTTTTTGGGGGGGGGGGATGTGCTTTGCCCCTCTCTAGAAAATATCCTGGCGACGCCCATGCGCGTCTGGGAAGTAAACATTATACGCGCCTAGGTGACGTCATCCCGGTGAGTATCCATCTCGCTGCCGTATTTATGAGGTGTAGTTAAACAAATACAGGTTTATTTCTGGAAAATAGTTGGAATTATCGGTCCCTTATGACTCGCATGCTGTATAACTCACATGCACCAAAGATCAACACCGAGGTAGTTTTATTTTCCTTTTCAATGCAAAAAGACCCCGAATAAACACAAATCTAAGAAACTGACACATTTTGTCTCCACTCTGTGCCCACTAGAATTAATGAATGTTCTTCCACAAAGGCATTCAATACTATGCAAGGGTGAGCACAGGGGCCACGCGTACAATCCAACAGATGAAATACTCTGCGCGAAAAGAAAACAATGCCGACGTCCTTCCATAACGCACTCCATGCACTGAATAAAGCACTGACACCGTCCGGCCGGGCTAATACCGGACATACATTATGAGCTACAGGTTTTATTGAAATAAAAAAAAACGGTCGGCAAAAAATAAATTTCGGCCGGAAACGAATGAACCATGCGACGATCTCAATTAATTAAATAGACGACATAAATCAGGTTGTAAATCTGTTTTCTTTCCTCCATGATCGGAGTTTCCTTTTTTTTGCTGATCAAAAGAGGATATCGGGGGCGGGTCACTGCAAACTATAATTGAATGGACGAGTTATTAAATTAATGAAAACGTGGTCGATTTGTCTGGGGAGTCCTGTATTTGTCAACGGCAACGTGAGAGCGAAGAGCGAAGTACCCACTCATGATTTTTTGTTGTTGTGGATCGGATCGGGTCAGGGACAATTCAATTGATATCGCATTGCATGCAGATCATGGAGTGAATGATAACGGATCGTTCATGGGCTACCATTAATCCATGATCGGAATAATTTGACTGGCTGCATTTTAATTAGAATTGATTTGTCTCCAGATATCTTCAAGTAGTCTTGTCAAACCTCAGTTTTGATGAGCTTAAAAATCACAAAGTTGCTTACTGGCGCAGTTACCCTATCGAAAAGCATGTGAACAATGATAACGTTGTGATATGATATTTAGCCCAGCAAACAAGCCTTGTTCGCTATTTATCTTGTCATAGTTTAATGTATATGCTCCAATAAATTTGTGATCATTTCATTCTAGTAAAATTATCGACATGTATGTATTCTTTCTTTTCACTTTATAATGAAATCGATTTTCTCTTGTTTAGTTCAACTTTGAGTCTTCTTCACTATTAACTTTTAGCTACTGATCAGAGGTTCTTCTTGATTGTGTTAATGATTTTGTTCTATCATCATTTTTAACTACATTTTATTGTAATTTATTTTCATTTATTCCGGTTTGCCTTCCATCCCCATTGTCTTGTTTCTTTCATGTTTGTTGTGTTTATAATCCATTTGTATGTATAATCATGCTAATTATCGGGTCCATACCCACAAGCTAAGCTTTCTTATGGATTCCACATCTCTATTAACTGTATTTATTATCTGCTTATTACCTTGTACTCATATGAATTATGAGATGAAATAAAGTCAAGTTCAAATAGATCACACCCCATTCGTCTTTGTTTTCTGTATACTCTCGAGTACCGGTATATACGGCCCGGGTGCACACGTTACCCGGCCGCCGTGGGTTGTACCACTTGGTACTTGTTTTGACTAGCCCTGTACAACTCTGGCTGTTTGCGCAAGTCTTAGTGAACATGACAATGACGGGTTACGTGCGAGGGTACGCCGGTCTACAACGTAACAAAGACCAGATTTCATAGGAGTCCAAAGTTCATTATGACATTGGTATAACACTATAGGTCTGCATGTGTGATAAAAATACATCTAAATCCAATTGTAGCAAATAATAAAGCAATTCCGTTAAGACTTCGATAAGCCACATATCTGAGTAATTGTAATCCAGTCTGGATTTCGTGCTGCTGGTGTGTAAATGACGCGCTGTGTTTTGACTGCTGTTCAAGGGGAATGCCCACAAGAATGTTTATGTTATTCTTTGCGATGATTGTGTGGTTACACACCTGTGTTCCGACACATCTTTATTCCGACACACTATGTTCCGACACCCCTATTGTTCTAACTGTACGTAGTCCTATCTCAATCCCTAACCCTACCCTAACCGGAAGTAACACAATCCCTCAAGATCCCTCAACACATCCGACTTGCATCGTCAATCATCACCTTCAAGAAATCGCTCAAAACACATCTGTTTCTTTAAATCAATTCACCTTCATCTTTACCTCTCATTATCCCCTGGTTCCCTTGAGTTATTCTTAAATTAAGTTTTTTGTTTTGTTTTTGTTTTAGCCTTGTTTATTTGTAGTTTTGTAGTATTGTACAGCGCTTTGATCTTTGTTAATAGCGCTTTATAAATGCTCCATTTATATTTTTATATTTATAATCTTATGTGCGGGTTGTTGTTGGAACATCGGGTTGTCAGAACATAGGGGTGTTGGAACATAGAGCAGTCACCGATTATGTACTAAAGAAAACATGTTACAAAAATGAACAAAAAAGGACCTTTTCTCGTAACTTGCCCAACTTAACTCTACTTGAAATGAAAACTACGGCAGCGAAACGGTACTTGACCAATACAGTGGCAAAAATAAAATGAGCTCATTAATTATCAATATCAGTCCCGCGTGTGTAGCAATAAGGCCCTTGCTCCAGCCATTCAAAATTCATACACGGATTGACATTCATCATCCATTTTAAAATGAGCCTGCTCGATCTCGTTATCAATTATTTAAGCAGTAGGGTTAATGCACTAGGCACTAGAGTGGATTCAAGATGTGTGGCATAAAAAACAACTATGTTTTGATCCATGGGCGTCACCAGGATTTTTTTTTTGGGGGGGGTGGGGGGGAAGCACAATTCCCCCCAAATCATTGTACTTTCTCTAGCATATTCTTAGTTTGTTATTTTTTTCGAGGGTTGGCGGAGGACATTTACCATGGGCGTCACCAGGATTTTTTTTTGGGGGGGGGGGGGGGGGGGTGGGGGGGGGAAGCACAATTCCCCCCAAATCATTGTACTTTCTCTAGCATATTCTTAGTTTGTTATTTTTTTCGAGGGTTGGCGGAGGACATTTACCAACTCTACCCCATTGACACCCATGAAGACGCTCGTTTTGTTAAATGTGTATTTCTTTTGCTTTTCCAGGGGGCCACCCCTCCCCCGCCCCATCCTGGCGACACCCATGTCTTGATCCACAAATACCAAGGTTTTTGTTTTTTAGATGTTTTCTTTTCTTTATTTGGCCACTATCATGGGCGTCAATCCTGGGGGGGGGGGGGCGTGACATGTCCCCCACTTTCTGCAGGATGGGGGACACAATATCAAATGCCCCCCCCCCCAGATATATGAACTCGTGTCTCACAGGGCCCTATATTATACACAAGGTATCTTTGCTAAGAAAAATTGGTTCAAATGGTCAGAAATTGCCTCAGATCGCACCACAATGCGAGCATCTAGAATCCAAAATTCTTGTGCCCTTAAACAGGCCCCGAACCCCACGCCTTGAGCTCGGAATAAAATAGTTGATCCAATGACTTCAACCTTGAAAATGATGTTTACATGATTATTTTTTTGCTAAGAAAATATTGGTAAAAGTGGTCAGAAATTGCCTCAGATCGCACCACAGAGCATCTCTAGAATCATTTTTAAGGGGCCCTTATGCGGGCCCGAACCCCACGCCGTAAGGGCTTCGCGCTGGCATTGTTTCGGATCAAGGTACCGGTATGTCCCCACATTTGAGAAGCGAATTGACGCCCTGGCCAATATTAATGAGATTAAGACCCGGGCCTTCGAATAATAGATTAATTGTAAGACAATTAGACGCATGAGAAACACAGGGTAAAATGGATCAGAAATAATTACGGGGAGGGGGAGGGGGCTTTCATTTTTATTTGACCTACACCCAAACCATTTTACAAACACAGTCCCTGGCTGGGAGGAGGCAATGTTACAATATTATTGATAATGTAGTGACCAACGGATAACGTATCACTAACGATAATGTCACACAAATTGACCGATATTGTTTATAATGTAACGACAATTGACTGAAAGGGTAGTAAAATAATGTTACTACACTATCAGTCAAGTTTTGTTACATTATCGGTTAAGATAATAAGATTGTAACAACAATTGACTGATAGTGTAGTACATTCTACTACACTGTCAGTCAATTGCTGTTACATTATAAATCGGTTTGTGATTATTATACAGCATCGGTCAATGTGTGTGACATGATCGGTTAATAGTGATACGTTATCCGTATGGGTACATTAGTTAAGTTGTAAAAAGCAAACCCTATTATTGTGGTCAGTGTTTGTTACGGATTTATTTTCACAAGGCCTATAAATATGTAGGCCTACAGTTAATTCACATACCATAGCGTCGTAGCCAGTAATATTCATGAAGTGCGAGGTCGCCTGACCTTTGTACAGGTAAAACCACATGGTGCCCTGGAACTGGTCGCCACCATCGAGCAGTAAGACGTTCTCCTCCGCTGCTCGTATCTGACGGATCTTGGATACTCGTCGAGCTACACCGCCGAAGCATTCTCCGTCATCCGATTCCTGCGTGCTGCACTCACCTCCATAGCCGTCGAATTGCTCAAAACGCGCGTGTACGTCGTTCGTGTGCAAGATTGTCAACTTGAAGGGTACAGCGGCAGTGAGATAGATAGTGGCCAGCACCACAGCCACCCGTAACCCAATCCACTGCATCATGGTTCAATGTTCTGCTAGATATGGCAATATGCAAACTCAGCGGTCGATTGCGAAGTGCTTCTGTTAACATGCAGCACTCACTATAGCGGTATATGAAATATTATGATGAGCGGCAGTTCGTCATCAGGTGTCCGATACCCGGAGATCGCCCAGTGATCTGACCAAGCGGCAGCGGGATCTCTGTTCCATTGGAGTATGGTCCATTTATCGATGACTTATGCAAAGTGCAAACCGGCACTATACAAATATAGAAGGCCACTACGTCAATAACAAAATCAAGATTACTAAAGGCATGGTAACTGAACACAGCTAGGTGACGTGCCCGGCGCACCGAACCGTACAGGAGAAATGATAATGACACAGTTCTGCTCATGGAATTAGAATTCTACCTCATGTTTCTGCTCCATTTGGCCTACATGTGCTTATGTCGGTACGTACGGATAGCATTATGACGCACTATTGGGTTCAGGACGCGCGGAAGCCAATCATGACCAAAATTCATCGAAATGAAAAATATTTCACACCACACAGAAGTCAGAACAGACTGAAACAGTGAATGGAGTTACTGTCCGCCAATATACCGGATGTCTGTTACCCTTTCCCCGTACTTGAAATGCTGCATGTTGAAATGATGTTTCATTTGCCTTCAGTTTCCCCTTCATTGGTGCACCAAGCCCTTCCCCCTTCCCCAGAATTTTAACCCTGTATTTACGCCACTGAAACACTCTAAATGATTCCCTTCAGTCTGAATGTTTTCCATGATGTATCAGGACCACATTCCCCTTTTCAGAATTTCCAGCATCAAATAATATTTTGACCACGCTTGAAATGTGTGAACTTGTCAGATCTACAACAATGCAATACTCCACATACAACATAACGAAAGTTACAAGAAAATAAACCTGAAAGGATGCTGCCAAATCTGAACATCAACACCATTACTTTCCAGTCGTAGATACCTTAGACAGTTTAGCCATTTCTATTGGTGACCGTCACGTGGGCGGTTTTAAACCGTTGATAAAATACCAGCTGGCTGGTTTTAACCGCTCAGTTTCCGGTGTCACGTGACATTTGGTCTAAGCGTGAAATCTTGTCCCTTTTACCCTTTCATTGGTTGAACGTTCACAATCTTCACTAAGGCATGCACATTACCAATGAGTCCGCATTGGGGCCTGGTCGCCGATAATTTCTCTTCGGTACGGCTGTATCGCGCCATTGTCAGCGTCCAGGCCCCTACTCCCCAGCCGGTTTTAAACGTATATTGTTTGAAAACCCGCCAACTTTCCCTTACTCGATGCAGTCTGACACAACAGTAGTCTAGTCATTCTGACACTGCAAACATGAATGTTGAGCACTGTTAGTTTCCTGCGATCTTTGATCTTGTGGAGGACGGATATGTGCCATTGGCACATATCCTTCCATGTGTTCAAGGGAAACGCAGCCATGCATAAATTTGAGTGATTTGAATGTTGGTACAAATAGAAAGCTTATCGATCAAAAGTTGCTGAATCATGTTTTGAATTGGGCCTGAATTCAGCGTTCGAGACAAGTTCTCACTGAGCCGATTGCAGCTACGCGATGCCGCGCACTGATATGATCCGACGAATTATAGCAACCGCTCGCGCGTCGTGCCAACGCTTGCGCGTGCTTCGCCGAATAAAAAAACCGAACTAACGGACATTTCCAACGGTGCGTCTTGAGACGCACCCAAAATTGCAGGACCAATTTTTGAATGCCTGTTATGTAGCACTTTCAAAATCTAGGGTATGAAAGCCCAATTCATAAGTTTTTTTTAGTACAAGATTCATGCAAATCACTCATGTACTTTTCAAGTTGCGGAAGTTTAAACACACACGGAAAAAAAGGTAAGTGTCCTTTCAAAAACGACAATCCACATTCATCCCTATGTGAATTGTTTCCGTTTGGCTAAAATAATACTTTTTTTTGGTGATCCGTGGATAGAACTTAAAACAGTATTTGTATTCAAAATTCAAAATACTTGAAAACGTACATGAGTGATTTGAACGATTCTTGTTCTAATACAAATCTTATCAATTGGGCTTTAATATCATAGAATTTGAAAGTGCTACATGTAGAACTTATTACAAAAATGGTCCCGACATTTGGGTTTCCCTTTTATTTTTTCACTCACCCTGAAACCAGTCAGCCTGACACAAATGCTTAAAAAAGAATGCTGAACACTATTTTGTTTCCTTTGAACTTCGACCTGTAGTGTTGACTTGGTAGGGGTGTTATTTTCATTAGCAGAGTACTTTGGCCTTGTGGTACGCCATGGGAATTGAGACCGAGATTGAGATCTGTCCCCATGTAACCTTTGCGAATGATCAACCACACACATACTGCAGTATTATAATAATTGTCTCACTTTTAATGCATTATTTGCACTCCTGTTGGCATTCATTTATTGTCAAAAAGAGTAACCGATGAGCTTAAATCAAATTACATCATATTTCATTAATTTGAATCTATGATTACAATCCTATACAATGTTTATACTTTTCAATATCGGACGTCATAAATAGTGTTTTTTCACGGAAGACGGATAGTGCCACTCAATAAGTCTGAATATATATTTTTGTACGTGTGAAAATATTTTTCTGTACAGCGGCCGCCACTTATTATGTGGCGAATAAGTGACGGCCGCTGTATAAAAAAACCCATTTTCACACGTACAAAAATATATTCAGACTTATTGAGTGACACTATCCGTCTTCCGTAGTTTTTAATGAAATGTCGGAAACAATAATTATGAGGGCGCTGTTTGGTTTGGGAAGTGAAACTTTTTAAGCTCTGGCAGGAGCTTCTACATGTCGCTTCGTGGTCGGTCGGTCGGTCGGTCGGTCGGCCTGTGCCCGGAACATTGATCAAAAACGAACACCCTAAAGTTTCACATAAAATTCCAAATTTTAATTTGCACAAAAATAGCAAACGAAATAAATGAAATACATGTACTTCAATATTTTATGGGGGAGAGGGCTTATTTTGGTCAGTTTTCGGGGACAAATAATAAGGCAGCGTGATTTTCACGTGGGAGGCACGAAGCAGAGCGTGGGACGCCGTAGTCGGAGTATCACCCGTAATCCACGATAAGAGTTGCGAACTCATGAATTTTTAAAGTACATTTTCTACGAGTAAATCATGTTTTCTTGGAAAGTAGACAAAACAAGCTTTCGGAAACAGTTTTTGCTTTTCTTCTACTGCACTTGGATTTATTTTTATCAAGGCTTGAAGTCTCTGGGAAACAGAAGTAGCGTTTTCCTCTATTTTGTGACGGAAATTCGAGTTCCCCTCTTGAAATTTCCAGATTCGTTTGCACATGTTTACGTATCAAAATTTCAACATGAAATTTCACGAAAATTAGACATCTGAAAAAAGGCAGCACTTTCTGATTAGCCTAAAAAGAGGGTGAGTATGCTTCTAAAGCAAAAATAAACTACAAACTAAGCCTAAATGTGAAAATAAAAATTTGACAAAGTTCTACATGTTTTGGTACATGGTGCAAATGTGGCCTTTATTTACGGAGGTAAGTCCAGTAAATTTGCCACATTTATGGGGCTACTAGAAACCCTACAAATAACAATCCGAAGATACAAAAACTCACCAGATGCTAAATTCAGCAAACTCCTTAGGTTAATCAAAATTTAATCGCTCATTTCAAAGTAGTTCCCTTCACAGGCCTTCCCCATTTATAAACGATGTCTTCATCTTATTGTTCTTATTAATTGTTTGAGTAATCTTTAATTTGAATGATTTAAGTCTGACTTTTTATTTGGTGATGTCATTTTTATTCAAATAAACCAGATTTGAATTGAAACTGAATTGAAGCCAAATGATTACAAACTGCTCCAACAATCACCCATTACAAACCAAACTTGGGCAAGCCACACAACCATCATTCAACCAACATTCTTAGTGTCAGCTTGTGTGATAGAAATAATTCCCAACTCGATGCGGTAAAATGGTCATTACAAAAGTCCTGATGCGCCAGTACAGTGTTTTTGGCTCGTATCGAACTCGAGGCGTCTCATCAGTAACAGCATCTGTCAAAGCGTCAATTACGGGCCGCGTATCGGTGTCTCCGATGCGGGTAAAATATCGCATTCTCTTAACACGAGACTGGAACAAGTCCTCCCCGTAAGACTCTTTGACTTCATCTGACATATGACTCCACATTTCCTCGGCGATCTTGTCTATTTTGTCTTGGGTGAAGATACCGGTAGCACCGATGAAGTTGCCCGGTTCTACGATGACAACTTGAACGCCCCAGTTGCGCATTTCGTAGCGTAGGCACTGCGTAAAACCTTCCAGGGCGTGTTTAGTAGCGACGTAACACGATCGACCCATAGACGCCTGGCGACCAAGTACACTCGTCACGTTCACAATACGCCCTTCAAAACAGATATGTAGTTACTTTGCCATCAATATGGTCATGTCAGATGCATAGTTTTTTCTTGTTTACATCCATGGAGAGAAGTAAGGGACTTCCCCCTCCCACATTTTGCATAATAATCAATATTACTATGCCTCATGCATATATTCATGATCAAGAGCCGCATTCTTACTGGTCCATTCACCATCACGTGCCAGATGCCATTTTGGCTGTTTACCAAACGTCACCCGGGTATTCACGCACAGGGTACATGTACATACGCATGCGTAGTAGACTGTCGCACTAGCCTTTACGAAGTAATTGTAGAACTGTCACACGGGTGTAGTATGCATGCGGAAACATCGCCCTAGCGTTACACATAAACAGCTGGTTTCAGGAAATGCTAATAAGCATTTTCCTGAGTTTAATGATGCCGAAATTAACTGGAGAATATTGTGGACAATGAAGATGCCTCCACTAGAGCCAGTGACATCCTGGAGCAGTGCGGAGGATTTCAAGTATAATCTACATGTAGGCCTAAATTTATGCATGGCTGAGCATACACAAGTACACAACACAAGGTCTGGCCTATGACCTTGACACAGTGCATCCACCAAAATCAACCACACATTTTGGCCATGTACAGTATAGCCTCAATTCTGCAAAACTATTTTGCAAGGAGGATTGGAGGATTAGGGAAGGATACGGTAGGGTTAAATATTTGGATGATCTACTCACCTTGTGTTTTGCGCAGAAGCGGTAGGAATGCCTTACAGACGCGAATGGCTCCCCATAGATTGACATTAGCCACACGTTGATACACCTCCAGCCCACAAAACTCTACGTCACCAAACGTTGAGATGCCTGCATTGTTAACCACCGCCCATAGACCTGCACAGTCACACATAAACAATTAAGCCCGATCTTCACCTCATGTTGTTTGATATTACTATAAACTACACAACTTTCTCCAAATACTGCACCATCACAAACATGGTACCTATGAAATACCGCATGAAAATATTTATGAGGTATAGTAAAACAAATACAACATTTGTTTGCGGGGAAAATAGTTAAAAACAAATGAACTTGGTGTTGGATGACTGGGACTATCTCCCTCAGCTTCACCTCTGGAGTACATCCCAATCATCCAACACCTCGGGGTCATTAGTTTTCGCTATTTCCCCACAAACCATGTTGTATTTGTATAATATTCTCTGCAGCAAGTTGGGATTTTGTCTCAATTGGCCTGTTAACGCAGTGAACTCTGGATCCTCACACTGTTATTCTCTAACTAAAAATTGCCGAGGGAATCAACCGTACCCGTTGATTCTGGAAGAAGGGAATAAACTGTCTGCACAGCATCTGTTACTTGGTCCTCCTTCGTCACATCCATCTGAATGACATGCAGTCTCCCCGAGGCTCCGCCCCCTGACTCAGACTGAGCATCCGTCAATTGAAGGGCGCCCTCTCCCTGTGAATCCAGACAGGCAGCAAACACCACGAAGCCCAGCCTGTGCAGGCGCTGGGCCAGCTCGTGTCCAAACCCCGTGTCGCAGCCGGTAATAAGGACAGCTTTGGCGATGGGGCTTATCTTGTCTGCTGGTGTGAGGAGTTTTCGAATACCCAGGACAACTGCCAGGGTTGTTATAACGGCTGTGATTTCAAGTATCATTGTGGGTGTGTTCTTGAATCTTTATAGCTGAAAAGTCAATCATACATGTGATATTAAACGGAAATAATTTAACATTAGAAACAAAATGAAAAACTAAAATCTCTGCTGCAAACTGCTAATTGCTGTACGGGGAATACTGACTAGTGACTTGCTCTTACACAAAACCTTACTGAAATTCCTCAGAACACTTGCACCAGGAATCAAATTTACCAAAATACTCAATCTTGAGACAAATGAATTCAAGGCATCTGTGTGTAGCAGTGCTACATGCTACAAAGAACCCCCCAGTTATCAGGTGATACGTTGATGACCTTTATTCGAATGGGCGGAGCCACCTTTAGGTCAAAGAACCAGACAAGGGGGTACATACCAATGCTAAACACGCCTGAAACTGAAGTGACAGGCATGACAGGCCATGACCATTGACTAGTGCACAAATTAAATGCTAGTGCTACACTACGCATGCTCAATTCTGCAGCAGTGTAGCGGTGCTACATAACATATGGTGCGTGACCCATCGTCTCATTTCTTGCTTCATATGACACATAAACCATATGACTATGAGACTGGTCTGAAAATTTCAGACAAGTGTTTAATACATTTTCTCAGTAAATACTTTATATATTCTCCCTGCTAAATTCGACTTTTGTAGGACATATTATCAATATCACTTTCTGATGGCTGCTAAATTATTGATGGCCAGATATGGGACTCTTTCCGAGAATTTTGCTGGCTGAAGAAAGAATAAAATAAGTTGGCCTGATTTTCATTTAGTTTTGCACGTTTTTTTCCAGCTCAACTCAACAGCTCAAGTTCCCACCATTTGCCCACTATATCCGCTGACTTTACTTCCGACATACTCCTAGCTCCATGCTTTTACTTTACTTTACTGATACTGTATTTACTCTTTTTAAAGCCGTTCTTTGCTTACCAACACAGTGACAGCTTATTCTGAGTCTTCCTTGTCTACTTTATTTCGCAAACCAGGACAGGAGGCCGAGCGAGATTGGATCACGTTTCGAAATTCGAGCTTGAATTATTTTGCTCTTCTCAAATTGACCTCATATGACCTAGTGCAAATAATGCAGCAGCATCTATTATTTAAGAGGGGTGTGATATTGAGATATTGCTTCAGGACAACAAATGTATTTAGAAGTAACGACGTTAAAAATGCATAAATTGTACTTCAAAGAAATTCCTAAGCTTACATATCATTGAAAATATTTAATTGTATTTTTCAGTCGGAAAAGAAAGATTACAGTGCCCGGTCTCTCTATTAAGTAACACCTTTTTACACAGTAGTACATTCCACACGATGATGATGTACACAGCAGCACTGTGCTTACTGATTGTTTAACAAAATCGTCCTACTTTTTGCATTAAAATCTCTGTTGATTAGATATTTATGTAAGTGCTACGATACAGTTGACTTCGATTAGAAGATTTAATGTTATGAGACCGGAAACGCAACTAATGAGAAGGTAAAAGTAGCCCCCAAATTTGCCCAGTTTCCGGACATGCTTTGTATGCTTTGCCGTAGGAATTTACATAAGAATTAGAAAGTATTAAATTAGAATGGTATGGGCCTTGGCCTTGCCCTTCTGTAGTGTATAGCCCTGTTGTGCGCTTTCTTGCAATTTGCGCAATCTTACGAATGAGCGCTCAACCTTAAGATTGCGTGGGGATATTATGCGCGCAATTTATAAATTTTGTGCAATCATAGTTCATACAAACATTGCACGGCATAATTTTGTTAAATTAAATGTATTAAAGTAGGGCCTAAGTTAAACTTAAGTTACAGCGGAAATAATAAGGTGTTTCACACTAAGGCCCCCCAAAAAAGTCTCTGGTTTCTGAAATGAAAAAGTTTTTTTTCAATAAAAGATGATGTCTCAAAACCGCCAAACTCACTGGATTGACTGGAATCCTGCTGCTGCACAATTTGAAAAATCATTAAATATTTTCCCTAGTGACTTTGCGTTCCAACAGAATAACTGCCCAAGAATCAGTGAACGAGGATGCAGCTAGACTTGCCAAGTGCAGCCGGTGCTCGGCATTGACAAGACCATTATTTTTCTTGGCGCGCAATCCACATTCAGTGCAATGCTGAAGAATGTTTTTTTTTCGAAGAGTGTGCAAGGATCCAGTTGCACTATCGTATGATTGCGCAAATCACAAGAGAGCGCACAACAGACCTACTTTACTCTATTATGCACCTATCAATTGTCCCCCCCCCCCATTTCCTTGTGAATGATTCACGAACCACAGAATGATATAGTTTAATCATTATTTGGTTCTTGTTGTACTTGTAGGCCCCACATCTAACTTAACTTCACGTCCAAGTACAACTGACAAGCCATGGATGGCATTCTGTCAGACAACTCCGATCTGAAAGTGGGTATCAAACACAAAGACATCAAGATAAAGAAACCTGCTCTGGAAGACAGCACACAGAACCTGGCTCCTGAACCATTAGGTGTTGTGTACAAGCTACGAGACATTAACAAGGAACTTGTAGAGGCTTGGACAAAAGAGTTTGATGGCTATGAAAGAGTTAACGTAAGTATATAAGTATAAGTATATAAGTGTTCATAAATAATGATTATAATAATACCGGAGTCTTATATACCGGTAGCACACGAATCTACCAACAATTAGGTACTCAAGGTGCTAATTAATATGAATTTATTTTAAAGACGGGTAAATGAAGTACTTGAAATATGAGACCCATTTTATGTAGCACCTTATAAGGGTTTACAAGGTGCTGTGGCACATTAAGCAGCCACTGCCAGAAACACCGAGGCAAACCTCTTCTCTTTGCGATAAGTGTTACTGGGTTCTTTTAAGTGCATTACATAATGCACGGGACCTACGGCTTTGAATGGGCTACCCAGTTAAAATAAAAATAAAGTTATTTATATCGTTATTGTGTTATTGTTCCAACAGATTTCTGAAGGAGATATCTTCAAAAACGCTCCTGCTGCTGATGCAATAGTGAGTAGAAATTCCAATCATGTTGGTCTTTTTCACATATTATGAATAGGCAGCGGATATTTGACCGTGAACCGGTCCCTGAATTGTCTTCGTTGTTGAACCAGCAAGGCACTGAACATGCGCAGTCAGTGGGGTTTTTTTTAATTAGATATTTTGAAAGTTTGTCTGGTTGCTGGCTTACATTGTCATTGTGATCTGGTGCTTACATGGCAATTTGTATTTCTTCTTTTTTTTCCAGGTTTCCCCGGCTAACAGTTTTGGCTTCATGGATGGAGGAATCGACATGGCGCTATCGAGACATTTCGGTTGGCAATTGTAAGTTACAACCATTTGCTGATACTCACTAAAGAAATTCATCTACTCTCAAGATGGAATTTGTGTCGGGGTGATGTAAATCAATATTAGGTTTGGCACTTCACTGACATATGAACACTGTATACTCAGTGTGTTACCTCCCGAGTAAAAGTCGTACGAGGTCTGCACTAGAAAGCAGGAGGTCGTGGGTTCGTGTCCCACCCGAGTGATTTTTTTCCACCTATCACTCAGGAGGTAACACACCGAGTAAACATTGTACATGTATATATATCGGTGAAGGGCAAAACCTAATATTGAAAGAAATTCATGTTTTACAAATTTCCTTTTGTTGTTTTGATTATTTCAACAGAGTAACAAACATATTATCGATGTATAACTATAACTTAACATCTTATGAGTTCTCCATCATCAACTCTGTCTTTTCAGAATGAATCGCCTTCAAGAAATGATAATGACCGAGAAGAATGGGGAACTGTTAGTTGTAAGTAACCATAGAAACATAATCAAAACTACACCCTCAAATGCATCAAACCATAGCATTTGAAGTGTTCTTTAAAAAATGGTTGTCCTCAATACAGTCTTAGGAGTTACTGTTTTGAAAACGAGCTGAGGTTGAGTAATATTGTTGTTCTGGTGAGGTGGACCAGTTTATCCGAAGATTTTATGCCGGCGTCCGCGAGTTGCATACAGCAAAAAGAAAATTCTGCAACTGAATATGTATGAGGCATAGGAAAACAGGTATGACATGGTTGATTTTGGGTGGATATTCGATATTAGCTCCTCTCAGTATTGGAAGTTGACAACTTCCAATACCTCAGGGAGCGAATATTGACTGTCCACCCTCAAACCATGTTATATTTGTACATGTATACAGCTTTATCACACTATTATCCTTTTTCTTGACAGGGTGATGCATTAATAGTCCCCACCTGCCAGCAGTTTTGGGGTAAATCCGACCGCAACTCTTGCTGGGGAGCTTATAACCAGGGTACGCCGATCAAGTTTCTCATCTCAGCTCCCACGATGAGGGTGCCGGAGGATGTCTCCAATAGCATCAATTCCTACTTGGCATTTCGAGCCATTATCTTATCAGGTGAGCTGGTTTGTCCTGTTTCCTTTTACTAATTGAGTGGCATGGGTGGCTAGTGTGTAAAGTGCTTGTCTCTCTCCAATGTTGCCTGGGTTTGGTTCCTTTGCTCGTACCCAGGACCCTACAAGCAAGGACGCTGGCAAGGGCTGACCTCTTTGAGCTTTCAATGGATAGATTTTGCGTGACCTGTGATGTAGCATGCGTCTCGCAAAAAGTCAACACTTTCAATCTCTGGCTGTGCTCTGTGGTCAGACATGGGTCGTAAGGCGGCTGCCAAAGGCGCCTTTACACGCCTTCGGCTCTTAGCTGCGAGAAAGGATGATTAGCCCCCAGAATTATTACTATAATGATCATATTTTCCCTGAATACTAAACCTCTTCACAGACTTTGTTGTTGGGTTTTACCTGTAGCCTACTTAATTTCTTAGACACTGTATGCTCCATGTTATCTACAGGGATATGCGAGAATATAATCACAATATTCCTTGGTTGTGACTCGAACCCATGACCTCCAACTTACTAGTGCAGACGTCTTTAAAAGTGGTAGTGCAATCACTGTTCTAAGTTTTTTTTTTTTCCAGTTCAAAAACACAACTCCAAGCCCGATGCAATACCCATCCGCAGTGTGCTGTGCTCAGGCTTAGCGACGTCAGTAGGCTGCATGCCGCCGAAGAAATGTGCAAAACAGGTAACAGAATGGGAGACTTTTGAGATGTTGGTGGCAGCAAACCACTGGTCTATTCTGGTCTCTACCTTCACAGGCACCTATTGGTACTCCTCGGTAAACATGGTAAAGAGAGACAGTTGTAGTAAAGTGTCTTGCCCAAGAACACAAGCACCATGTTCCCCGTCAGGGTTAGGACCCACGTACCACAGCACGCGAGTCCAACACCACAACTATTGGCCCACAGCGCTCCTGTGATACAGATGAAGATTACACATGTGGTGCCTATCAAGTTATTGTTTTAATCGGCTGTTGTTGCCTAATGTTTAGATAACCATGGAGGTTGTACATTCATTCACAATATCTCGTGGAAGTACCTCAGTTTAGGTGGTTGTCTTTTTGTCTTTGCTTCAGATGAAGAATGCTTATGATATCTATGAAGAGCAGAAGAGGGATGACTTAAGGAACCCAGACAGTTTGGGAATCGTCTGGGATCATCATAGGTTTATGCAATCATCAGTGAGTATCCAGGCCTGGCACATGACTTGATCATCGGCTTTAAATAAGTGAGGCGTTCTGTTGACAAAAATAACATTTTGTGGGTTGTGTTTTCACTTTTGTCTTTGCAGAAGGAGTTTGGTGAATTTGTCTACCAAGAAGACAGTTGATGAGGGTACAGATAACCTATGAATGTACATACATGTAAGCCTGCCAGGCGCACCATAAGGACCCATCCAAATATTTAATAGTCTCCAGGCCAGCTTGACTGAATATTTGAAAAGGTTGTCTGGTTTTTATGTTTTACATCGATCCACATTTGCTATTTCCGTGCATCATGAACAAATCGGTATGTCCGTGCAACAAGGTTGTATATCTCTTAAAATGGCGTGTGATGTCATAACGCAGGTTTTCAATGTCAAAAGGTCATATCTCGCTTAAAATAACCTGGATGTACACTGAAAGTCGAGATACGCGAGATAAGACCTTGTTGGATGGAGAGTATTCGCTAGAGATGCAACCTCGTTGCACTCACGTGATGAACAATTTATTTTGTAAATCATTGCCATCTTTTAATGCATTTGATTTGTTGGGTATACCACAGATCTTCCTAGAAATTTGTATTGAGACAAAAAACCCAGTATTGCATGGAGATAACAAGTTTTTTTATTCATGCTGCCTTTTCCATGTGGACTTGAAGCTTGTGTGATGCATATTTTATGGGGAGCCAAGCTAGTAATTAAAAATCTTAGGCCTGACAGTACCGGTATGTGGCCGAGACTATAGTTTGGTGGGCCTTGTTACAAAATGTATGATAAAGAGAAACTGATTTAAATTTTAGGGACAATTTTTTGGACACTCAACACTGGCTGCGGAACAGGAGGGCTATGGGGCCATTGCACCCCCCCCCCCCCGGTAGGTCCCAATATAGTGTACTATATTGGCCCTATATCTGGGTAAAAAAAATCAAAAAACGTAGTCTACTGTCTGGAAATAAGAGGATCAAATGATCACTTTTGATCATCGGGATGGCCTACATACACTGCAGTTGCCATGGCATAGATGGCAGAACTTGGGGGCAGGGTGTCACATTCACTGAAAAGCAAAATGGAAAAGGGCACCCCCTATTATTGAATGAGGTTTAGCCTCCCTTTTTCGAATTTATAACGGCCAGCTGGCACCAGTGTTGCTTTGCCCCCCCCCCCTACATTCAAGCAATCAGCTTGACAGCTGTTGATATATACTAGTCATTTTAACTATTGCTTTACTAATCAGCCTCCCTAGCCGTTGATTTAGGATCTTGCTTTTAGAGAAATTTGCAGGAATGTTGAGTCACGTTAATATCAATTTAAATATTGGAGATTCCAAGAGTACATGTAAAAATAAGGAAATATTTTAAATGCCATAAGCTTAATTCTTTCCCTTTGTGAATATATGTATTTCCCTCTTAAAAAGTTTCAATATTCCTACTTATTCATTTGATAAATTTCAGTAAGTTGATCATGAAGAGACCGATTGGAGGGAATGGGGTTGAAAGGACGATGTGATGTTTAAATCAAGTTAATCATGAATGTATGATTTAATACAAGTACTTAAAATCAGTGTTGTTGTTGGGTACAGCCTTATCCCCAACAAGTCTATCAAAAGTCAATCACAAGTCATCCAGTTGCAAGTCAACTCACTAGATTTCAAAAAAATTCTTACAAAACTTTTTGGTATTGTTCATCTACTATTGCTTCTGACTGTACTTGTGATTTACGTTTGATGGAATTGACTTAACCAGTTCGCGCCGGGTTTATTTTGACATTTACCGGAACCAGGTGCGGGATTGTTTTTCACGAACCTCGATGCCAGGGTTCAAGCTGTCATCTGCGGTTAGCTCACCCTGATATTCCCGGCTTCGCTCGCTGCGAGCGGATTGCTGACAGATATTTACGGCCTCGGTCATTGTCGTTGCGTGTTTATCTGTCATCTGTTCCGAATACTGCAAAACCTTTGCGTGTATACACGTCATCTGACATGAACTGGTTAAAATGTGAAAGAAGAATGTGTCTAACTGGCCTAAATAGGCCCGAATCTCTATAAAGACAACAGTATTTTCAGTCGTCTAAAGCTTCAACTGTTTGAAGTTTAAAATAGGCCAAATATGCAATATCTTGGTACATTTATTAGATGTCATTTGTTCAGTGAGATTCTCTTTTCACCGACTGTTCTAGTTTCAGTTGTGTTGAATTTATTAAAAATGGTTGAGGTGCCGGGATTGTACAAATGTAAACATGGCTGGCAGCTTTCATTCAAGAAATGTGCAATTTTACTGAAAATACACATTAAACAAGCCACTTAGACTCTTTGTTTAAGTTGTGCACACTGGACTGCATGGAGTTATATGAAGATAAAGTTTCTCTAGCAAAAGTGTGCCATGTAAGTTTGAGTACCCCCCCCCCCCCAAAAAAAGTTGATGGTTTAAACCACCCCTTGCAAAACCTGGATGTAAAAACCAAATGGTAAGTAATTACTACATTTAAGGCTTAACGCTAATGATCCAGGGTATGTTTGCTAGAACCTGCCAAACGTAGCAATGTGTAAAACACTATTGACTAAGTGACAAGCCTGCCAAACGTAGCACGATCCATCAGGGGAAAAGTCTCAAGGCCACACTGCCTCAATGCACGCAGCAGGATACAACTGTGGCATTGTTCAATGGGACTTAGCTCTCATTGTTTCAGAGCTGGCCATTTATGCACTGGTGTTGGTAGCTGAATGCATTAAAGTGCACCAGTTCTTTTCCACCTGATGCACTGTGTCGCATCTGGCAGGGTTAGTGATACATATATAATACAAATTATGATTGTGTGGAATTGAATTCATAATTATCCATTGCATGCCACAATACTGTTGCTTGGAATTGGATAGTTCCCTTTTAGCAATCTGGTAAATATACAAATGTACACAGTTTTCAAAATAAAGAACTTGAAAATATTACGAAACATTTGTTTGAATAAATTGTAAGAGTTGGTTGGGACGAGTACTGGTTATACTCCTTTGTTTGGTTCGTATTGAAATCTTTACTTCTCAACAACTTAGGGTTGAAAATATAACTTCACAAATATTAAATTTGGCTTTGCTTACATAATTTTTTCTCAATTCTCCATATTGTATTTTTCCCCATAAATACCCTTGTGTAATCTGTTCTTATAATTTAACATAATAAATCAATAATAAAGAGAAAAAAATCTATAGACACCCCGGACAGGAGTTTGGGTCAATTAAAAAACAAAAAAAAAAACAAGAGACCCATCTCCTCTACCAAATTTATCAATATGGCAATAGAAAAACATCTCCAAATTCCCCGTTTCAGTCTTACTGAATGATATGTAACATACAAATGTTCATGCAGCACACTTAAATTCCTTTTTCTTGGGTTCACTTTCAGATACGATTCAAGGGACCAATAAATACTGACTTAATTTGATAGCGATCACTTTGTGATACGACAATTAGATTATCTTTTATGATCTCTTCTTTTGCTTCTTTCCTTCTCTTCCACTTTGCCTCTTTCAGGCTTCCTCCTAGTACCTTTATGTTTGTCTGTGTCATGTCTGTAACCACTATGTGGTTTGCTGATGTGCCTGCTACTGGATCTCTCATCCTCTTCACCAGATCTACCAACCCTCTGTCTCTGGTCAGTGTCAAGTCTATGTATTTCCTTGTGCACTACGCTTCGTAGCTTTTTCTCTTCGTGTTTTTCTTTGATCTCCACTTTGCTCCTTGAGACTGGATGCGAGTCATGTGACCTATCCCTCTTGGCCCTACTTCCAGGATAACTCGGCAGTTTTCGTTCCGCCTCATCCTGAACTTTCAGTCTCTCCTCCAAGATCTGCATCTTCTTCTTAAAGAACTCGGCCCTGTCACGCTCTGCTCCGCGCTTGTCCCGGCTGTGTTTTGTCGGGCGACTTCTGTCCTTGTGACTGGATGGCTGCTTGTCTCTAGACCGGTGTCTTTTCCTGTCTCTAGACCTGGATCTTTTTCGTGATGATTCAGGTCGCTCTGGTTTTGGCTTCCTGTCCCCACCTCGTGATTTCTGTGTGGACGCTTTCCCCTCGGGTTCATGTTCAGAGTCGGACTCGCTGACAATCTCCCCGTCTGACAAGTTGGTTGATTCTGATGCCGTGCCATGTTGTCGCCTATCCGAGGTTTCACTACAAGTGTCTCGGTTACTTTGGTCATCGTGATCACTATACTCGGAGCCTCCTTGGACGTTCTCATTCTCATAATTGTCATCCTGCTCATCCTGGTCGCTATGGCAACTGTTGTCAGAATCACCTAACAGACTATCGTGAACTGGGGAGGCGCTGCAACTCAGAGCATCAAAACTGGGCGGATTGATGGATATATCAGCCACATTCTGGGCTTCAGGAAGACAAAGGTGATTTGCAGAACTTTCAGCTAATTGTGTTTCAATTTGGTCCTTTGGGTTCTTATCACTGTCCATGTCATGGTTTGCAATATTTTGTTCTGTTGCTTCCGCGTTGAGAGGAGCAATTTCATCCAAGGAGGCAGTTGAAGATGCATCAGCACAACGTGAAGTGCCTTCCAAATTTTGCTTTTCTATCTCAGTTTCAAAAGTTGGATTATCTTGGTGTTCTGATGCTTTCTCCAAGAGTTTATTTTCATCGGAGGTGGGAAGTAATTCTTGCCTCAGATGTTCCTCTTTCAAGATATGGCAGCTCCCTAAGCTGTCTTCTTTGGCTTTTTCTTTGGCTGTTTGTTTATCCCCCGCACTGTCTGAAGGCATTTCTGTTTCAGTTGAGTTATTCTCTGGGGCAATGTTTTGCTCTGTAGCACGTCTGGTACCAGAACAAGCATTGTCATCTGTCATCTCGTCACTAACATGTTGCAAGATGCTGCTGCTGTCAAAAATACCTGGACCAGTTTTTGACAAGGAGGCTTGCCCTTGCAAGGAACAAGGCTTTGCGCCTTCTAATTGAAACGAAGAACCTTCAGGGTTTATGAATGAAGTCTGTCCCTCTCTGCTGCCTTCCACATCGTCACTTTCAAGAAAGCTGTTGCTTCCAAAAACCTCCAGTATTCTCTCAGAAAAGCTATCGGTTGTGTTTCCTATTGGTGACAGCGTTGGCTTCAACAAAGCACTTGGTACAGTTCTTAAAGAATCCTGAGACTTGGAATTTGGTTCAGTTTGTTCCATTTCAGTTTCAAAATTGACGAATTCTCCTTGGTCTGGTACTGATTTGAGGATGACATCTTCAGCTTGTAACTGGTTGTCAGAGGTATCAATTCTCAAAATGCCACTGTCCTGAGTGGCTAGATCCTCTTCAGAGGTGAGATTTTGTCCTTGGAGTACCAGAGCACTCCCCTCTTCCTGTAACCGGTGATCGACGGTCTTATGTTTGAAGGCATCATCTGGGGAGGTAGTGACTGACATAGAATACGAAGATGAGGTTGAATCAGTGTCACTCTCTGATCCTGAGTCCCGCTCTGATCCAGAGTCCTCATCTTGGCTTGATGGAGCACAGATCAGGATTGTCTCATGTTCAGAGGAGTAGCCACAACTTGCAGTGTCTGGCTGTCTTAGAGTGAACAAATCCTTGGACTGAATTTCTGCTCCCTCCGGTACAGTATTATCACTTTTCAAAACATCATCTTTGACAGCCTTTCTGTTATTGTGGCCGTCAACATTATTCACACTGGTCTGTGATCCCCGATTTGTGCATGCCTCTCCAAACTGATTAGAACTTGTGACACTAGTCAGCTTTCTTCCAGGTTCTGAAAACTCTCTTGTTTGGTTAGTTTCAGCTTTGACAAATTCGTCTCCTTGGATGGCAACGCTTGAGTCAGGCTCTTCATCTGATAACGGCGCAAGTGTTTCTTTATTTTTGCTTTCGTGGGCAACTTCAGGCACAGCAGCACATGTCGAGCCCTCAATGTTCTGCTTAGAAGGTCGCTCGGGCGGCTCTTTACTCACTTCAATTTGAGATGCGGTGGATCCTACTGAATCTGAGCGAGAGGCTACAGTACGTAATGCTTGCCTTGCCTGATTTGTACCATCTTCTGTACTCTTTTTTACGGTAAATCCTTCACAAGTGTCTTCAAAATCACTTTCAGGCATCTCTCCTTCTTCCAAGTCCTCAAGCACTTCCTTTCTGCTGCTGGTCCAGTTGGTGGAAGATATTTTACCATCTTCTGATTTTCTCTCATCTCTCCGGGAGCTGTGGCGTTTCCTGCGCTTACGTTTCTTGTATTCATCTTTCTCGTGCCTTTTGTGTTTCTTTGGGGTGCTGTGCAACCTGTGTAAAGTTTCTTTAGCTCGTTTAAGTGACTTCATTTTTCGATCTGACTGGTGTCTCTTGCGGGAGCGATCATCCACTTTGGCCGATTTGGCAGCTTTGTCTTTAGTCTTTTGATGACGCGAAGTCTTTGGACTATGTCTCTTCCTGTCTCTCCCTCTTGTTAGTTCGTTCTTGCCAGGACTAGCATCATTTCTTTGTTTTTGCGACCTGCTTTTCTCAGGGGAGGAATCCCTGTGACGTTTGTCAGTCGACTTTGCTGTTAATTCTCCCCTGAGTTTCTTAGAAGGTGCATCACTATGAGAGTGGTAGCCTGAGGCCCTTCCTTCTGAGCTATGCCTTCTTTTCCTTCGACTACGCAGCTCCAGACCAGGTCTGATTGCTCTCCTATCCGAGTAACGAGATGATCTCTCTCTGGATTTTGAACGTGATCGGCTGGATTGACCCCGCCGTCGGCTGTGAGTGGATTTGCTTTGTAGCGCATCCTTGTCCCTTGTGTGTCTTAAAGGGCTATTTGACTTATGATCTGACCTTTTGCTATCTCTAGTTCTCGTACAAGACACGACAGGTTCTGAAGATCTGCCAGGTTCGGAAACTCTCTCTCTAGATTTTGAGCGTGATCGGCTGGATTGACCCCGCCGCGGGCTGCGAGTAGATTTGCTCTGTAGTGCATCCTTATTCCTTGTGTATCTTAAAGGGCTGACAGTTGACCTATGATCTGACCTTTTGCTATCTCTGGTTCTAGTACGAGACACGCCAGGTCCTGAAGATCTGCCAGGTTCTGAAGATCTGCCAAGTTCTGAAGATCTGCCAGGTTCTGAAGATCTGCCAAGTTCTGAAGATCTGCCAGGTTCTGAAGATCTGCCAGGTTCTGAAGACCTGCCAGGTTCTGAAGATCTGCCAGGTTCTGAAGACCTGCCAGGTTCTGAAGATCTGCCAGGTTCTGAAGATCTGCCAAGTTCTGAAGATCTGCCAGGTTCTGAAGATCTGCCAAGTTCTGAAGATCTGCCAGGTTCTGAAGATCTGCCAGGTTCTGAAGACCTGCCAGGTTCTGAAGATCTGCCAAGTTCTGAAGATCTGCCAAGTTCTGAAGATCTGCCAAGTTCTGAAGATCTGCCAGGCTCTGAAGATCTGCCAAGTTCTGAAGATCTGCCAGGCTCTGAAGATCTGCCAAGTTCTGAAGATCTAACAGGTTCTGAAGATCTGCCATCTTCACTCTCTTCCCTGCCTGACAAAGAACTCCCATGAGTACTTTTTGATTTCTTTGGTATTCTATAAGTACTCATAGACTGCCTGTCTGGGATTTTCTCCGGATAAATGTTCTCACTGTGTTTACTACATAATCCATCTTTCTTGCCTTGACTGTCCAAGCGTGTGCTCAACTTCTCACTGTTTTTGGTAAGGTCCATTTTTACGGAGATGCTTTCTGCATTCTGGATGTTGCGACTATCTCCAGTCTTCTCCCCACCGGCAATTTCTTTGGCATCTATGGCTGCAGATGTTCCACCTCCCAGTTGATGACATCTTCCATCCCTACTTGAAGCAGCTCTTTGATTTTGCTCACAAGGCTTCTGTAGATCATCGCTCTTACCCAACGCTCCGTCTTGTCTGTCCGATGTGCCCCTGCTGAAGTCATGATCAACACCATTGGTGCGTCTTGGATAAGCTTTGGGGTGTTTCCTCAGATCACGTAATCTATCATTGATGGAACTCTTGTAATCAATCTCCTGCCGATACCTTGGAGCCCTAATGTACAAACAAAAACGAAAAAACTAACCTTTTTTTTGGCAAATGCTTATAATTTAAAAAAATATTTATATATTTTACATGGAAGAATCTAGTACTTCTTCATTAGTAGGCTAGCCTTGTCATACGTCGCTAGCCTTGTTTATACGTCGGTGAAGGGCAAAGCCTAATAGTGATATACAAACCTGCTGCCTAGTTCTTCCAGCTGCCTGTCTTTCCTCATAAGTTCAGCTTGAGCCGTCTGAAATAACTGGGAGATATTAATCTTCAGAATCTTGTTCTCCTCAAGTACGGCTGCATTCTGAAATACAGATTGACAAAGAGTGCGTACTGTTTTCATTAGCCTGACTGCATCTGGCCGTACACTATCACAAGCTCTGAAGTACGGCCAGACTCGCGTTGCTCCCCTACACACTGAAAAATGATGTAGCAATTTTGCTACCGATTTTGATCGAGGTCATCTTCTTATCCTGGACAGACATTTCAAAAGTTAGTGTACCTGGTCGAAGAGGAACCTATACCTGTTTGAAAACATTCCTTTATCTATAAATCTTCATCCATCTGGCTATAAAACAACGATCAGTCTTCAGCTCCCAGAAATATCGTCCCGCAAATGTGTCTACATGGGATTTCAAAATGCTGTACGCGTTGTAATGTATGCTTTATGCAGGTGCGCTTGGGCATGTTGGGCACGTTTATGTAGCATTGCACAGTTCATGACCTCAAGTTGTCGGGCACGCGGCGCGGCCGGCCATACAAACACAAGGTCATGAACTGTACTATGCATATTCATAACCTTGCCAAAGCGCGCCTGCATAATACATACATTACAACGCATCTGACATTTTGAAATCCCATGTAGACACATTTCTAGGACGATGTTCGTGGGAGCTGATGTCTGATCGTCGTTTTTTAGCCAGATGGATAAAGATTTCTAGATAAAAGAATGTGTTTTCGAACAGATATGAGTTCCACTTCGACTAAGTACTCTAACTTTGGAAATTTCTGCCCTGGATGAGAAGATAATCTCGATCAAAATCGGTAGCAAAATCGCTACATCACTTTTCAGTGTTTATGGGAGCAACGCCACTCTGGTCGTAATACAGAGCTTGTGATAGTGTACGACCAGAGTCAGTCCGGGCTATGTTTTCATCTAACAAGATGATCTAGACTTTGCTTATTTACATGCTAAGCAAAAATCAGCTAAGCGGATACATATAGGCTGAGCAAAACACAAGCAACATTCCTTAACTTGTAACCCCATTTTTCTATGCACAACTTTCTGTTGTTCAGCAAATTTGCATGTTTGCTGCTTCTTAGAAATTGGAAGCAAGCAAAATATGGAATATTTAGATAAGGACTCTGATAAGGAAGCACGCCAGATAAAGTTTAACATTCATTACTTGTGTTTGTAGACTTTGCAGCTGTTGCGTGAGTTCCTTCAACTTGTCTTCATATTCAGCATTTGTTTTCTCCAACTATAAATTAAACAAAAGTAATTTTAAGGTGATCATACTGAAATCATCTAAAATGAATATTCTGGTAAAAAAATTTCAAATCCTTTTTTTTTTTAGGTTTTCCATATTGTGTGCTTCGCTCGTGCCCCCCCCCCCCCCCGCCCCGCCAGGCAAACAGGACGCTGGGAAGGGCTGATCTCTTTGAGCTCTCATTGGATAGATTTTGCATGACCTGTTATCATACATAGTGTGCGCTAGCTGCATGCGAAGGTCATGATATTACCCATAATGCCATCTGTGCTTCCTTCACAAGATTTTGTGAAGCGGCATCAGCCCTTCTCAGGGCCCTGTTTGCAGGGCGGGGGTTACGAGCGAAATTGTGTGCAAGATCCTCAATACGTGTACTAAGTGCAGACAAGTACATGAACTTCTAAAGGATTTACATGCAAATAATGAAATACAGGTTTTACGTACATGCGTATTAGAGTTTACTGCTAAAATGGTTTTACTCAATAAGCTTAGCTGTAGAAATAGAAGTACATCCAGTATAACATGATTATATTTTACCTGTTCAAGTACGTTTGGAGTCTGATGCTGCTCAAGAAGTAGGTCACTGTAGATGTCAAAGGTCGAAAGGTTACTTGACTCATCCTCCATTGTCCTACATTAATTCACACTGCAAAATATATCAACAAAATAAATCACTGTTGTGTTCAACTCTAGTAGACAAGAACATGTTTTCATTGAAAAACAGTTTCACGAATTCAAGCCCATCCTTTGGTATGCAAATTTTAAAAGTCATGTTGCAATTAAAAAAGATGTGATTTTTTATCAGGAGTTACAATGTAGGCCTATGGGTTTAGACTGTTAAAAACATACTTATAAAAATGTTCATGACACCACATTGGCAAAACCAGTAATAACTTCCCCAGACTTTCATTTTAAGTGCCTGTGTGGAGTCCTGTGGTCTCGTGGTTAGGGGCACTGGATTCGTGGTCTGCGGGTAAAGCTGCAGGTTTTGGATTCGAGTCCAGCCTGGGGTCATGGTGCGTGTGCCCTTGGGCAAGGCACTTTGTCACTCGATGCTTCTCTCCACCCAGGAGTAAATGGTTACCTGTGAGGGCAGAGATGGTTTATTGTGACTGAATTAGCTTCCTTGCGGCCAACAGGCAGCATCGAGCTGTATACTCCACAGGGAGCTGAGATGGTATATGGAATGTTTCATGGGCCCAATGAGCAGGGGTAATAACGATGTAGCGCAGTGAACGCCAGTACCTGGTGGATTCATACGATTACGAACCACCTTAAAATTGCATGCAAATTTGCAAAGCATCAATTGTAACATCATATGGCAGCCACAAAAACAGTGTGCTTCATGACCTTGTGTACATGACATACAATATAGGCGTAGTATGTGCTGTCATATGGTTTATAAACTTTAAGTCCACTTGAATGCACACAATCACAAAGAGAAACATGACAAAGGATTTCTGCAAACGTTTACAAGAAATTATTAACATCAGTATTATGCACATTGGTCGATGTGCACGATTGGTCGATCATGCTAAGCTATTAGTTATCAGTCGATCATGACAGCCATATGGTTGCTAACACAAAGCGTCATGCCGTTGTTAGGCAAAGCTTATCCGATTACGTACTTAGACGCTATAACAGAGCAGTGAAATTCATGCACCTTAAAAAACATGGCATTTTGAATGTTGTGTTTCTCAGAAAATATGCTCAGTCATTGTCAGTATGATTGAAATGTTAAATATAACGAAAAAGGAAATTCTAAACATCATGTCAGTGAAAACATCGCTGTCAATCTTGTCATCGGTGCCGAAATGTCAATACTGCTACAAGTACTGGTTACTGGTAAAAACTCAAATTTTGTCAAAATTTAATTGTAGGCCTAAATGCAAAACCGAAACTGACCCGACCCGACGCCCGACTTAAATTTAGATGGACAAACCGACCCGACTCGGCCCGAAGTCGGTTTCGGGTCGGGTCGGTTTCGGATCGGGTTTGCACATCATTTCCCAAGGCCCTCGCCCCAAGGCCCAACCACATTTCAACACATTACACAATGCATATTGCAATAGGGGCTAACATGGCTAGTATAAGCATGATAAGTACTAAGGCCTAAGCCTAAGGGGGCCTACCTGCATACGTCCGGAAATTGGACTAGGTCAATTTAAAACCCTAAAAATATAATTCCACATTCTTTTTTTAGAGAAAGAAAAGACTCCTGCTACCTCCTTATTTTAACATAAGACTTGCTTACTTTAAATAAATATTTCAGTTGTTTTCTCGTAGCCCAACGCAGTAATTTGTTTCATTCTGAATTCCCGCACTTCGAGCTAGTCGCGCGAAACTTGTCCTCTTTCAAAAGATCTTTTATCAAATCGTAACATTACTTACAAGATATAAAAACAACACAACAAATGTCAGTTTCATATATTTCAACTAAACATTTAAATTATTTTTAAGTATTTACTATCTTTTTCTTTTTCCAAATTGTTCCATTTCATTAATATAATAATATAGATATAATATTTATATTTAAGGTCATAACCTCTCCAGAAAGTAGGTCAATAGTCTGGTTCTGGTGTCTGATATCCAGACTCGACGTTTGAAACACAAACACGTCAGACATGCATGTTTACTTGTTGTGCTGGGCGGATGTGGTTTTGCAGTGCTCAGCTGCAGCGCAGGTGATTGCAAAGTCCATGGAGGTAGGCCATGAAGTCGAGTAAGCATTGTTTGAAAAGCGTTCCCGAAAAAAAATCATACTGGGCCACCACTCATATCCCTTAATATGACCTAAAAAGTACCAAAATTTGCTAATCTGATGCCGAAATACTGTTTAACTTTAAGGAGTGCAAAAATTCTTTACTGGCCTAGGCCTACTTAGTTTTATAAATTAGCCTAGCCGCCCTAGGGCATGTATTAAATGTAGGGCCTATGAATGAGTATGACTATGTCTATGACTATAATTTTATAAAATGTTCTGTCATGGCCCATAGACTTTGTGCAGGAGCTCTGAGTGGTGGCACAGTATGGATTTTTTCCGTCATGGTACTGTATGGCCAAGTTACTGGACTACCTCCATGACCTCCGTAAATAAAGGCCACACTTCCACCATGTACAAAAACATGTAGAACTTTGTCAAATTTTGATTTTCACATTTAGGCGTAGTTTGTAGTTTGTAGTTTGTTTTTGCTTTAGAAGCATATAGGCTCACCCTTTTTATAGGCTAATCAGAAAGTGCTGCCTTTTCAGATGTCTATTTTTCCTGTTTGTTTTTCAGCATAGAAGTTAGAACGACAGAGAAAGTACTTGAACCGAACGATTCAGCAGCATTCATTGAGTGTCCTGAAGCCGATCATATCAAGTAGTTCAATTTCATGACAAAAGCTGCAAGAACAGACTCAAGATGTTTGTCAACTATCCAACCATGACCCATCATCACTCGCGTGGTGATGTTGGTTTCTTTGATGCCCGAGGAGACGAAGAGGCATTCCTGAAGTCTAAGCCACCGCTCTCGCAGGAGATTTTCCAGAGTTACAAGCCAAAGAATCCGTGGCAGTCTAGCCCAACGTTTGATGAAGATTTTGTGTTGGTGTGTGAATTTTCAGAACTCGAGGGACCAAAACCAGTGGTAAGAGATTGAATGAACCTCATGAAACAGAAATGTTCAGCTGCATTTGGTGACCACATACACTAAGGCAGTTTGGCCTTGACATTTTAGAAGCATTCATAAGATGGAATTAGCATCATGGTGGTGTAAATTCAATATTCGGTTTTGCACCTTCACTTATAATAATGTCATAGTATACGTATATATTTTGTGACACTACATTAAATTCAATACAAAGTCTAATATTATTCGGAACCATGTACATGGTTATGCGACTTTAGATTAAAACTCCCTATTGACGGTTGTTGATCAAACTGTTGCTGAAACAGCTATGTGTTAATCCACAAACACAAATCTAGTTTTCCATTGATATGAATATTAAAATGATGGGGAAGTGTGGCCTAGTGGTTAGGGTTTGTGACTCATGATTAGAGGGTCAGGGGTTTGAATCCAGCTGCTGGCCATATGTTGTGTCCTTGGGCAAGCCACTTCATCCCCACTTGCCTCTCTCCACCCAGGAGTATAAATGGGTACCGGCATTAGCTGGGGAGTAACCTGCGATGGACTAGCATCCCATCCAGGTGAGAATAGAAATATTCTCGGTCGTTTCATGCCACTGAAACTGGAGATAATCGCCAGCCTGACGGGCCATATTGGCTCAAGACAGACATTACTTTCCTTTTCACCATATTAGAAGTTTTTGTCTGATTCTGTCTGCAGATGACCATACCCACAGAAGCGGGAGGCGACTTTGATCTTAATGACTTTTCATTGAAAATCATGGCCATTGACTACAACGCAACCAACATTGTCCGGTCTGGGTAGGTTTGAAAAGGATATGTTTATTATCATTAGTGAATTTTCAATACTTTCAATACATGTACTTGAAAGATACGACAGTTGTTAGTTATATATCTTTTGTTTTTTCATTCCTTTTGGCAGTGGTACGTTTTCTTTAGTTGAAGACACTGGTGTTGTCTTAGAAGAACCCAAGGAATCCGCTTTTGCTTATGTAAGATTTTGAATTGTAAACCAGTATTCATAAGTACCTAAGACAGTTTACCCATTCCCATTGGTCGAGAGCCTGTCACGTGGCCGGTCTAAAACTGATGATCAAGACATGGCTGGTTGGTCTTAAATACTTTTCCAGTGTCACATGAAATTTGGAGTCCTATAATTTACCGTTATATTGGTTGAGCGTTCACAATCCTTATACATAGACATTGAGTCAGTATTTCATAGTCCTAAATTCACAATGCACTCACAACAGCTGCACAGCTGTGTCGATCATCGAGCGACGCACGCCAATCTCCATCAAAGGAGTTGTTAATGTCTTACTTGCAATCTTGACACTCCATTATGCAGCTACAGTAGATGGGCGTTTCGAAAAAAGAAAGTAAACTTCTTGAACAAAATCGTTGAAAATTTTTAATTTTTGACTTGTTTTGACTTTTGGACCGATTTTCGCCTCGGGTAATTATCAGCATTCCAGACTCCAACCAGTCTTCAACACAGTGTTTAACACCTCTCAAGCACATACTTATTCCCTTAAAATAAACTGACAGAGACAGTCACATGTGACTTTATTTGTGATTGACTTGCTAATTTACTTGCTTACTACATGTGTAGTTTGCGTCAACAGCCAATGTTTTTGAATGTTTTTACTGCAAGGAGTTTGCTGTGCTTTGTGTTCATACATGTAGGTTCATCACTTCACACTTTATGACGTCATAGCAAGGGGCTACGTACGACCATTCTGCATAGCATACATCACCTCAGACAAAAGGTACGTCTTCTGTTAACATCTTAGCTCCAACCCCTCGCCTTATAATCTAAAACTAAATTGGATAAAATTGCTTTGCTAGCAGCTCTGACTGGAATATTCCATCTACGTGGTTGCTATTTGTCAGTTCAGGGTGTGACATCGCGAAGTTGCATTTCGGCCGAATGAGAACTTGTCCTGGATGCTTACATTGTATTTCAGGCGCAATGCGAAACATGACTCGGCAGCTTTTTGAATTGAAATCAAGATCCTAGAATACTGTTTTACTCGGAGTATACAGCTTTCATGGGGCTGAAACTTTATCTGGTTAGTAGGCCTATATTTAGCATTTTGAGCACTTTTGTTGCTTCAAATGAAAAAAGAAATGCACAAATGACAAATGATCAACTCTACCTTTCACAAAGTGTTTTGCCTTAAGGGCACACATTTCATGAACCTAAGCCAGCCCACAGTTCCCATTAACTTCAATTTCCTATTCATTTCCACAATGAGTGATGCCAGTGTCCATGTTTCTACAGGAAAATGATCAGGAATTTAGATTGGTTGATGACACAGTTCAGCAAAGTGAGTGAGTCGTTCCGATTTGGGAATCGTAGCCAGTTTCAGGCAGACCTCAAGTGTCGATTAGAAGACATCCGCTACACAATAGGTAAGTTTGGGAATGGTTAAAGCTATAGTCAATCATTTGCAGCCATTCGAAAAGTAACTGGCATAATTATTGTTGAAAAACATACTTGGTTGAAAGATAGTAAGGGGACTAAACTCCCTGTGAAATTATTCTTTCTGGCAAGCTGTCATTTTGAAGTAATCAACAAAAGAAGGCCTTTCCAACGGTACGTTTAAAGATGTGGAAATATATGCATTCTGCAACATGTGTCGCTGTGACATTTTTATATTTTTCAACAGGTTTCATGTTATGTAGGGAACTTCTTCTTTTCACCAGGTGTCTGATGGAAAGTTATGCTTTTTCATTGTTAAATGTTGGCATCTCTGCTTTTGTCGTTTTCTTTTGCCTGCAGAAGACTTAAAGAAGCAGAGGTTGAAGATTAATGGAACAACGCAGGTCATAGCTCCTGATGGGAAGGAGGCTGAAGCCGAGCATAAATCCAAGCAGAAGCATGCTGCGTTGGAGCGGGGGATCAAGGAGGTCCAGGACATACTAGAGCTCCTGGAGCTAGAGTTGGTAAACAAAACAATCTCTTGATAGGCTTGTTAATTCGGGCGATTCACAATGCAGTGCGCCATCAAGAGTAAGCCTAAAAACTCGAGCAAAACTGCTCATTAGTCCATCATTTTGAACAATTAGGGGCTCTTGTTAGGACGCCATGTTGGGGTTTAAACAGATGTGAGTTGGAGGGTATCGATGTAAGGTTACCTATATATTGTAGCATATATGCTACAGCTTCAAAAATTATTGTTTTGACGATCTTCGTTTTTAGATTAACCACACCCTTCCCAAATCCTCCAAAATCATTTTTGCAAAATTTTGCAGGATTGATGTTATATGGCAAACGTGTGTGGCTGATTTTGCAGGATGTATTTGGTCATTATATGCCCCACTTGTTCCAAAAGAATTGGCTTTTAGGTTCAATTTTGCTTTTCATCTATCCTGTGTTCTACTGACTTGGCTCTCTCTCTTATTTAGGTGAATCCTAAACTAGAGGCCCTTTTCAAAAAATTAGAACAACTGTCCAGTGGCAAAAGCCCCCGCAAACCCAGACGACATCACCTCTCAAGCAGTGTTCACGAAGACGGTTACCATAGTGATGGAGAGGAGAAACAATCGACGGACTCCTGTCAAAGAAGAGTTAGAAGAAGTGAGTTTTAATTGATATATTTTTATCTATTTATTACTTCTGGTACTGAAAACAAGGATTCCCCAAATATCGCCCAAGGCACTGTCAGTTCGAAAGCCTGAAGAAACCTGTAGAGAGAAGTGAATGAGAAGAAATTACAGTTTTAGAGGTGGGAGGAAAAGCCCAGAAGAATATTTGGGGAAAAGCCACAGAATCAGGTAGGGACTGAAAACCCAATCCACATATCGGCCCGAGTCGGATTCAATCCCGGGTCACAGTGGTGGAAGGCGAGGAAAGTACTGCTGCGCCATAACCTGACCATTTCATCTATCCATTGTTTTTTGCAAAGTCCAGAATATGTTGCGATAATAAAAAATCTAGAAAAAAAAACTATTCACTGTCGCAGGACCTGAGAATGCCTAATGGTAAACGTGAACTGATTTTCGGTTTGAGAATAATGATGTTTTGCCTTTCTGCAGTCAGTACATGTGATAGTCTGAGTGAGCTACAGTCATCGCTAGAAACGCCATCACCGTATAAACCGCAGATCGTAAGACTGGATGGATATCGCAAGTTTGACATTCGACTCCGAACTCTTCACGAACTGTGTGGGTGGGGCTACAAAGCTGCTTTAGGGCGGGTCCGCAAAATGCACAAAGTAAGTCGATAGTGGTTGGTTGTACTTCATGCTAGGTCGTGGGAAAATTGGGTAGCCATCTTGATTTTTGCATGATATTCTAGTGGAATCCGGCAACCAGAATTAGAAGCTTTTAAGCTTTTTAGAGCGCGGTGTCACACTCACGCGCATGCTGCACGTGTTCTTAAAGACGAGGCACACACGCAGTTTGGTAATCCTATTGGCTGAAGGAGCCTGGACTGCGTGCGTTCTACCTGAGGGCGAGTCGCACGAGCCTTGCGCCACCTCAAAAAATTGGCTGCCACCAGATTTGTCTAGATACAACTCTTGAGACTATTTACAGCTTATTGGACACAGAATGACAATTTTTTTTTTTTTTCAAATTAGTGGAGCAACACGATCCTTCATATTCTTCATACTTGTGTCAAATTTAAGTGCTTTTTAAGAAAAACAATCATTATTCCAGGTCACTTTGTTTTTGACTTACCCTGTATTCCACTTTGGTTCTATGATTCTAGCATCTGAGTAGGAACCCCTTGATCTTATACATGGAGAAGAAGGAAGCCAAGTTAGTTGAGCCTACTTCAGCTTTGTTGTCCATCGGGAGGACTGTTGTCATCAACTTCATGCAAGACATTGGCAGGTGAGTACACCGCACTAACAGGGCTGTACAGGATGAGTAAAAAAACAAAACCCAAATGTCGGGACTATTGTTTTAGTGAAGTACTGCATTTAGCACTTTCAAAATCTAGGATAAGCAAGCCCAATTCATAAGCTTTCTTTTAGTACAAGAATCATTCACATCACTCATGTACTTTTCAATTTAGGAAGTATTTGAAAAAAAGCCAGTTTTTTCCAATGCTGGTCGGCCGATCAGGGTTGGAAATTGATACAAAAATACCGCCTTTCTTGAAAATGACAGCACACCTGGTGCCATGATTTTACAGCATGCTTTAGATTGTCATTCACTAACAATCCAGTAAGGTATTTCATAATTTGGTAGTTTTGTTTTTTGATGTTTGCAAATGTTGTATATTCCCTTTAATCGTCGTTTCTTTCTGTGCCTAGGGATTGTATTAGCCACCCTGGACCTTGCCATGATGAGATCGATAAGCCTTGCAATGCACAATTCCAACGACTTGCATCGGTAGGAACCAGTTCCATAATTTATGTTGTTTGACTCGTTGGTAAATGCGAACTTTAAACAGTCATAACCCGTCAACAGACTGTCCAATTAAAATGCAACAAACAGTATCATAACGACAATATTATTTCTCTTTCCTAACACCAGCAAACCCTCATTTCAACCTCTGCCCAGTTCTGTCTCATTTTGCCATAACGCAACACAAATGTTAGAATGCATGCATTTCATATGTAAATGATCGGTTATAACATTGGCCAAGGTTGTACAAGTATGGCACTCTTTCCTCATTGACATCATGACATGTTGTTTGTTTACTGCCTGCAGAATGTCTCCACTTCCAGTGCCAGTCCTGAGACCCTTGATGAGCCACTGCTGATGTATGAGGCCCGGTTTGTGCCAGGCACAGCATACGCATCAATGGAGTAAGTACAATACGTCCAAACTAGAGTTATGTTTGTGGACAAACACATGGTTGTTTCGGCAATTTGTTGTAATGTTATGTCATGTTGTAGACTGATGGGACATAGATCAGTAGAAAGGTGCACTGTGATTAGTGCCAATTGTTCCGTCGATATAGGCTTATAAATTGCACCTGTAATGTGACGTTAGTGACACGTGATGACATCATGATGACGTCACTTCAACACATCCTGGTCTAGGTACTTACCAACTTGCAACCCAATCGGACCAGTAGTTCTATAGATAAGCGCCTTTAAAATACGCACCTATATTATGACATCACGTGACACGTGCATGACGTGATGACGTCAATGTTCAGCACACATCTGCAGGTGCTAGTCTACGTGGGTGCCAAGTATAAAGGCAATCGGATTGATTTTAGTGCCCAAAAGTGCCAGGGACAAAAAAACCTGTACAAATGCTATGGGCAAAATGACTGGGAAAAAAAAAGAAAAAAATGTTAACGAAAACAAAGCCTGATTTGGCAATGTGCCGAAACGGCCAAATATGGGTTCTCGACCTATAGTGTTATTAAGATGAAAGTACACCTCAATTTAAAAAAAAAACATGTGTGCCACGCACGTGAGCATAGTTCTACTGAAGTGATCAGTCTCAAATGTATGATCATTCATTGTGATAGGTCCTTGTACTATGATGTGAATGAGAGCCTTGAAGAAAGCAGCGATGATGATTATGATGATGACATCTCCGAGATTCCTAAGAAGTTTTTAGGTAATGGTGTGTTCATCACATCTGAAGATGGCAGCTGGCTGGATCTTGACATCAACTCAAAGGATTTGGACTATTCGTCATCAGCTGGTAAGTACCTCACCTGTACCTCACCTGTAGACAGCCAACTGACTAGCTGTTGCCTGCAAGTTGGCAATTTCAACAAGGCCAGCAGTCCAAATAAACCAAGTGACTGTTTTTAACAGTTGGTGCTCCTGCCTTCACAAAGCAGGATTGACTGGCTGCGGTTGTCATAGCTATGCTTTGACTGTAGGAGATTGATAAGCCAGCTGTGCCTACCAGTCGCCTGCTATTGTCTGATGATGGAATTTGACTGTCACAGTGCCTACAAGAAATATGATCTGACAGTTGGTGACTAGCCTGTGTAAAGGCATGACAGGGAACAGGATTGACTTTTTGACTGTCTGTGACTGATCAAACACAAGGAGGGTTAGAGTTATCCAATCTTAAACAATTGATATTTTTATCCAATCAATGGCATTTGTATCATCACATTATTTTGAATTTGAAACCGAAAGTCCTTACTTCAATATTACTTTGTTTTGTTTTTTTTATCTCAGAAACACAAAGCTCACTGAAATATAAGGGGAGAAACCTGACCAAAGCGGAGGGCACCCCCTCGGATGAAGTGGATGATTCCGCTGTGGAGAGAGATGTTGCATCTTCAGATTATGTGACAGATTCCAACTCGACAGCTACATTTTCTATTAGGGGTGATCAATCTCAAGGTGAGTGATAATTATGAGCTATAGTCATATTAGTGGGTGTGGCCTAGTGGTTATGGTTCGCGACTCATGATCAGAGAGTCAGGGGTTCGAATCCAGCTGCTGGCCATATCATTGTGTCCGTGCAACAAGGTCGCATCTCCTACAATGGTGTGTGACGTCATGTACGTGAAATGCGAGTTTTCAATGTGAAAAGGTTGCATCAAAAAATATTTGTCTTGTTCTTTGTTTCATTTCTAGAATTAACTATTTTTATGTCTGTTCATCTGCAGATTCCACACTGCCAACTAGCAATGCCGATACCTATGTCATCAGGAGAAATCAGAAAGTAACAGTAGGGAGTTACGCCAGTAGAATCAACAGCTTCAATAGATACTTGCCAGGTGCGAAATCGTCAAGAAAATTACAGTTTTTTGTTTAAATAGCTGTAACAACAGTTGCAAGTACCTAGACCATTACAGCAAATATCCATTTTTACAGCTACTCATAACAGCACACGCTACCGTACCTGTCAACCACTCCGAATTTGGCGGAATCATTTCAAAAATACGTAAAGGGGTACCGGTACCTATACGTGATATTGGTAAAGCTAGTACATGCACTGTTAATGTACGTGCAGTTGAAAATGACCGCGCAGGTTGATTACTCAGTTGGATTTTGAAAAGTTGGTAGTTATGCGCTATCCACTCCCCCTAACCCTCGCACAAAGTGACCGTTTATAGTCAGTACTGATTGTTTGTCTGCTCAGGATCTGGGGTACGTAACATGATAGGTCAGTACCCATTCGCCGTCCATCTTGTCTATGCTCTACTCAGTGGAAGGACAGTCATCGTTGTCGCCAGCCCACGATACGAAAAGTAAGAACCCTGTCACGTTTCTTCCCTTTTGTTTGCTACTCATTGACATTCAAAGCCCCTTAAAATGTACCTTTGTGTCCCATTTAACCCGTTCCTTACCATGTCAATGCTGTCCATTGTTCACACTCTAGTGCCGTTGACTCATGTACATGCATGCACTCTCATTTGTTGTTGTTTTTATTTTCAGAGAAGTGACTGCTCTGATACGAACTCTGTGGCTCTTTGTACCAGGGCACTCAAGGTACGATTCTAAAACAATTGCCCTTTCTTTGAAAAAAAATAGACGTCACCTGCTTATTTTTATGGTCTGGGAGTCTCAGGCTGCTATTGACCTGAACCTGGTTTTGCTGGATAAAGTTGTTTTCTCTGCTAATTAATGTAGCTTGGGGGTACCTCTTCAAAATGCAAGAGGCTGCCTGTTGATTTTCCTTGAGCGGTGGCAGTAGTTTCATTAGTGTATGATTCAAGTATCTGTTGCCCTTTTCTTTTCTTTTTATCAACATGGTGTTTTTTTTTGTATGGCAGCAGAACGCTATGCCCCAATCTATAACAAATTAACTCAAGTTGTCTACTGACACTCATTCAAATGGGCCATGTTTTGTCGACCGTAAACTTGAAAAATGGACTCTCCATGGCAAACTCTTGGTGGCGCACCGCATTGTGAATGCCCGAATTGTAATAGAATATTCTGCGCTGAGGGACCAATCAGATTAACTAGGCGTTATTGTTTTGTGTTTCCAGTATGCATCACCTAGTGGTTCCATGGCATACCCAGCCTGTTTGTTTATCGGACCTGAGTCGTATGAAGCTGATTGGTCTAGCTAGGCACAGATCGTCCAGTCCGTGTATACCTCACGATGTGCAAGATCGTAGTTGTGTGTTTGACTACGACGCTAGTACGCTGAGAACCCCTCCGTATAAAGTAAGTAGTGTCATGCAACAAGAAAGTCATCCTCATATTTCTCAAAATACTTTATGAAAATTTTCTAAATCTCATTTAACAATTACGCTAGAGTATTCTTTACTATATTTTTGAGTTAAAACTTTCTTTTAAAGACAAGTTATCAAGAAAATGAATTTTCAAATGTCCAAATGTAGCCCCCAATCTCATGAATATTCATCTTCCTGAGCGAGTTATGCATATGCTGCAAATAAACGCAAGCACTTTTCGGAACCCTGCGCACTGATTGGGTAATACAGGGTGAGTCAAAAAAAGGAAACCCAAATGTCAGGACCACTTTTGTAGTGAAGTTCTGCATGTAGCAATTTCCAATTCATATGCTTTCTTTAAGTACAACAATCATATGAATCACTCATGTACTTTTCAAGTTAAAAATTTTAAACACAACCACCGTTTTAGAGTTCTAAAATTCTAACATTTCTATAAATGTTATTGTCCTTTTTTTATCAGGGTTCTCATCTGACTGATATGGTCAAGACTTGCAAGCATTTCCGTAGTGATCAAGCGTGCATTGCCTACATTCATAGCCGTCTCTTAGAACTGGCACAAAATGCATTTGTGTACTACCACAGCTACTACATTAATTCACCCAACTTCCAGCCGGCAACAGGGTGAGTTGAAAATCACATTCATCAAATTCATAACTAACGTTAATTTTAAAAGAGTAATTACTAATGACATTTCCCTTGATATACTAAAATCAAAGTTTAAAGACTTTCAGAATTTGCAGTGAAATCATGAGGAAAGTTTTGATTCTTCCAAAACAACAACTAAAGCCCTAGTCACACATTTACGGTTTTTGGAGTTACGAATATCCTTAGTTTACCAAGAATCAATCCGTCACGATAAACCATCCAGATTCGTGGAGAAATCGACTTTCTAAGAATGCACTACGGTTTCCGGACGGTTGGCCATGACTGTCCTATGGTTTCTCTCTGAACTCACCACATTTTGTCAAGAATACCGGTATGGACGGATAAGAGAGATAAAGGAAGAAGAATGCAAGTACACCACCAACCCCATCTGTAAGGGTCGACATGTTTGTGCCCTCATCAGTATAGAGGCTTATGGACCTCATCAGAGACATAACCAGGCACACGCAGACAAAAGTCTTTAAACTTTTGTAATTCTAACTAATTGAAACTTTAACGATTTACTTGGGAGTGGGTGTACTGTGTTTGTGTATGCAGTTAGCACAATACATGTAGTAACATTCATGTGCTCTATGTGTTCTGTTACCTCACAAAGATATGACAAAGTTTGGACCAAGTTCATACTAAGGTTGGTTTGCATTTTCTAGTTGAAAATGTTTTTAAAAAAGAGTCACATTCACCTCTGCACTTTTGTGCATTACATTACATTATCTATCATGCTCTGCTTAGAAGTCACTGTATTGCATAACTCCAAAGTCATAACTGTGGTGGATGGGTATTGCAAAATGTGGGATGCTTTTCTCAGACTCCATTGGGTACAGGGTGCATTCTTGATGGCTACAAGCGATCCCAGCATGCTTCTAAATAGTGTAGAATAGTCAGAGGGTGATGGTTTGTAGTCCATGGGTAGTCATGCATTTTCACGTACATTATACATATTAAGCTCATGAATGCATATGCAAAAATCCACATATGGGAACGCATGGTGCTCTGAGGTTGTTCCAGTGGTGCAGTCGAGGGGTGTTTCAGATCCCCTCCCCCCCCCCCCCAGTATTTCTGTAATGAGTGCCCTTTTTTCCTCGAGTGCCCTTTTATTTTCATGGGTGCCCTTCATTTGAACATTGCACGAACATTGGCAATTGTACTGCCGTGAAAAGCACCTCCGCCTGTTGTCCAGTAGTGCCCATGATCATGCACTTTGAACAGCGCCCCCAAAGAAAGATGTTGTCCACCCCCCCCCCCAATCTTTTATTTTTGTACGGAAGCCGGGTGTCGGATGAAAAAAAACCTGTCTACCTTTCAGCACGTGACCTTTTTCACGTCTTACCAAACCCCCCCCCCCCAATCAAAATGATCTTGCTACGCCACTGTGTACAGGTTGGATGTGCCACTGTGTATCACAAGTATGATCATGATAACACATCCATGTGCACACACTCTTGTGTTACTATACTCCCGAGGACAATGCTTTGTGTTTTCCTTTGTTCATGTAATATAACACTCTCCCATAAACTAAGCACGCAAACCTGCTACAGAGGACCGTTTTGAACAAAAGACCCAACTCCTGAGGACTGAAAGGATCTGTTGTTCTCCCTTTGTGTGTCTGTCCTCGGGGGTTATGTAGAACACGTAAACGCGGACCAAAAAACTTGTCCAATTGTCATGCAGAACCATGTCATGCTTTCATTCTGTTTTCAAATCATAAGCGTATTCTCGCAAATTGCTGCTGCTTGACATGTTGTTCAACATTTGATAATGATTCTATAGATGGAATCACAAGTATAATTTTAGTGTCTACTTAAGGCGTTTCTGCACTTTTTGTTCATTGCCTCCAGTTTCATGAAATTGTATGCAAAAGTCATTCTAAAGAATTCCTTATCCGTATTCATAGTTATCAGTGAGATTTGTTCAGTTTTGTTTATTATGAATTAGTATGTGTTCATTAGGTCGACACCAAAATTCATTCCCCCTCTTATGCAAACATGCATTCTGTGCCGAGTTGTCCTTGCAGTCAAAATCCATCAAGTTGCCTGCTTTGTCTGTTGACCCAGTTTGACTAGTCACAGTGCTTGCTTGACATATACGATCTGACTGCTGGTGACTAGCCTTTGTTAAAAGTATAGCAGGGGAAGTGCAAGTGAGTTTGGACTGTCTGTGACCTGCTTAAAGCTATAGTCCATCATTTGTAGCCATCCGAAAAGTAACTGGCGTAATTATTGTTGAAAAACATACTTGGTTGAAAGATAGTAAGGGGACTAAGCTCCCTGTGAAATTATTCTTTCCGGCAAGCTGTCATTTTGAAGTAATCAACAAAAGAAGGCCTTTACCATAGGAACATTTAAATTAGTAGTTCGTTTTGTTATTCGGAGAAGCGCGCACAAGCATTGACACAATGCACACGCGCGCGCGGTTGTTATAATTCGTCGGATCAGTGCGCGACATCGCGTATAGCTGCAATCGGCTCAGTGAGAACGCGTCTCGGATGCTGAATTCAGGCCCAATTCAAAACATGATTCAGCAACTTTTGATTTGAAATTGAGATCCTAGAATGCTGTTTTTCTCGGAATATACAGCTGAAGCTGAGCTGAAACTTCATCAGGTTACTTGTTCAGTATCCTTCATTAGATTTTGAACACTTTTGTTGCTTCAAACGAACAAAATGCACAAATTACAAATGATGGACTGTATCTTTAAATAGCAGGAGGATTAATAACTGAATTCCAAAATCTTGTACTTAATCAACTGAAGTCTTGTTATTTGCACCGTAGGGGGTGACCCTAGATAATGAAAATATGTCAAGAAAAAAATTTACCTGAAAGTCGTTGATATTTGACTTTGTCCTCATAATTAGCCAGGATGTTTTACTTACACCTGATGCTTAGGCAGCCTCATCATGGCCGTTAGTTAATGGAAAGGCACCTGCCAAGGCATATCGTACGCATGTAGTACATCGTCGTTTTAATGAGGAGAAAAATGACTTATCAAACAAGGCCAAATCTGGTGAATTACTCCCATGTGCAGTTCCGGAAATTGATTAAGATTTCAGCTGGCTATTAGGTTAGCTACACGTACGTGTATGTTTGTATGACAAGCATGTTAGATAAGATCAGACGGGTCGAACAGTGTAAATCACAATTGCAAAAGCATTACTAGAACTATGTCTGTCGATGAAGAGAGCACAGGGCTTTTCCGCAATTTTTTTTTTTTTAAATACTTGTATATATTTTAGAAGTATTTGATATTGATAAAGTCAAATTCTCAAAATTGTAAAACATTTATCTGCCAACAATGAATTTTTTGAGATGAAAATACATATTTAGATTTTTTTATGACATCATTATGACGTCATAATTGTCACATTTTTGTACAGCTATATGTATGACCCAACAGACCTATTAGAAAAGAATTTTGAACTTAACATGTTCACTTCGTGAGATAGGCCTATGTATTTAAAATTATAAAATTCATAAAAAATTGCATGATGACGTCATCAGGACGTCACCTCAATTTTTACCTATAACACACACCGGTCTATCTACATACCAAGTTTCAGCCCAATTGGACCTAGAGTTTGCTAGATATAAGGTCTTAAATTTTGCACATTTACGATGATGTCATGTGACCCTTGATGACATCATGTGACCGTTGATGATGTCATCTTGATGTCGCTCTTTGGGACACAAGTTCACTTTATGTAGGTCTTTACATATGGGATTTGGGATACAAAAAGAAAGAAAAAAGAAACAGTCCAGTAAGGTATTTCGTGATAATTTGGTAGTTTTGTTTTTTGATGTCACTTGCAAAATGTTGTATATTCCCTTTCAAAACAACAAAGTAACCTTCCTGTAGTGTAATGATCAATAACAAAGAGATCAAGCGATGAGGATCAGGTGTAGGGAGACTCCTGTGTACTCTCATTTACGTATCGGTACCTTGTAAGGGCAGTTAATGGTGACATCAAGATGTAGACAAATGCTTGCGGAGTTGCCAAACAATGATATCCACATGCATATGACTTGCAATTGGGTCATTTGAAAGGAGGAGGTAACATACGTTTGCTCTTTGTATGAGATTTGTAGATTAAGGACTGAAAGGGGAAATGTTTTGATCATTGTGTGCGCCTTGAATTCTGTCCTGCACCTGGATTGCCACGTCGTTTGCAAATGTCTCCCTGCACAGTATGTCAATAGCAATCACACAAGTGCAAAGATCATACCACCTGCTTCATGGTACATACTTAGCCAAATCACAAATCGCTTTACATCATTTGCGACTGCTGCTGGAAATGCCTATTGAATGTGGGAGATTAATGTCAGAGTTGGCTAGTTTCCATGGCAACCCATCACCCGGGCCGATGTGATATTTTTTTTTTATGGTTTAGTGCAAATGGAGGCGCTTGGCATCAATCTGTCAATTATCTTGCAAATGTAAACTGAGTCATATGACTGCACTGTTCATATAACTGATGTTAAATAGAAATTTTAAAAATAAAATGTTAAATCAGTCTTCATTCCAGTTGAAAGCACAATTATCTCTACATGAAATGAGGACTGGTCTCTTTGTAGTACCATTTAGCAGTGTGAAAATGTTTTGGTTAGTACAGCTCAAGACAATTGCTTAACGTGCTTAACCAGTTTGCGCCGGATGACGTGTATACACCATAGGTTTTGCGGTATTCGGAACGGATGACAGATAAACCACGCAGGGAGCGAGGCCGGAAATATCTGTCTGTGACCCGCTCACAGCAAGCGAGGCCGGAAATATGAGTGTGCTGCCAGAGGGTGATGGCTTCAACCTGCCTCGTTCCATTCTTGTCAAAATAATCCCGGCGCGAACTGGTTATTAAAAGCATAAATGTATTTTTTTCCCAGCAATTACAAGTTGACAAGCATAGCTGAAATCACCATTGAAAGATCTACACGTATACTGACAACTATCTATTGTCTCATTGGTCTCCGTAGGAGTGATACATCAAGGACGGGAAGCGACCAAATGAGAAATGGCTCCATTTCTTACTTGAGCAGATTAGGAATTGAAGACGGTGATGTGGATGTTATAGAGGTAAGATCTGTGGGGGAGAAAGGTCATCAGAAATATAGAAAGCAAAATACGCATTATGTAAAACTAGAAAGCACTCAGAGAGCGCACACTTGCGATCCCTTCACCAAGGATTTGACATTCCTTGCCGTATTGTTAGTACACCCGTACAGCTTTGCATATCCATTGGACTTTCATATTTTATTGCACATTTAAAACGTCCTTGAACTCAAACATTTTGTATGTATACGCCTGTGTTGGTCTACTTTTCTACTCCCCATTATGTAAAATGGTATAGTCCATTGACCTGTGTGGTTAGATTAGGTGGGTTACAAGGCATACAGGGTTACCGGGTCAGGATCTGGTGAAAGTTTTATTTTTATGTTTTATGGGTGAACAATTCTTTAAAAAAATCCTGCATCCACACGCAGATTCCGATCACTTCCAAAATGTAATCGATTTGTACTTGTACCATAGTCTAGTTATAGAGCATGGTGAATGTAATTTTTGAGCAGATTTGCTGATAAATTATGCAAGACAACCTTATCTTGACCTCTAATTTTGACCAATCAGCTGGCGTTTTCTATATCAGGTATTCGGTCATTCACCCGTTGTGTCATAGACGTGGATAACACAAACCATAGACACAGCAACAAAGGCTGTGGTCAATTAATTAAATACACTCAGGGAACTCGACAAAAATGGCCAACTCGTGCATAAAGCCCATGAACTCAGTTTTGGTGAATTTCTTTCAAAATGCTATTGATCTTCAAAAAAATACTTTACAGGTCTGCCTATTTTTTTGAGCTAATAATAGGCAGTATTTATTTCGACTCGTAAGTTTGAAGACATTTTTCAGCAATTCCTGAAAGATGGGACACATTACTTTGGGATGTATTTGTTTCCAAAGATATGATTACGCTGCAAACTTCCTTCATTTTCAGATAAAGCGTCTGGTTACGTATCGCAAGTAGATTTTGTACTGCTTCCAGACAAAATATTTTGTAAAAAACACCGCCATTTCATTTCAAACAAGCGGCAGATTTCTGTGATTGGAAGATGGGATTCTGTAACCGTATCTTATTGATTCATTTCATCAGTGCTTCTGTTTGTAAGAGCAAACATTTCTATACTTATTTTTTTCCCCTGTGCAAGCAAGACCGAGCAACCGTGTGCCTCAGTGAACGCTTTAAGTGTAACATTACAAGTGTGGGTTCAGTTTATTTCAGCCCTAACTTTCACAAATCCTCCAAAATCCTCTTTGCAAAGTTGAGGATTTTGTGGCAAAATGTGTGGCTGATTTTGGAGGATGCACAAATGGCCGGATCTTGTGTTGTTTATGCTCAGCCGTGCATAAATATAGGCCTAGATTATACTTGAAATCCTCCGCACTGCTCCAGGATGCACTGGCTCTGCCTCAACATATTGACAGTGATTGCTGAAAGATTGAGGCAGGATTGAGGCAATGGTCACCCCTCCAAGGACCACATTCAAGAAATAACAGAGGATTGTGGAGGATTGAGGCTGAATGCAATTTTACACGGAGGCAGTTGGAGGATATTGCAGGATTGAGGTTGCATCCTAGCAAAAATGCCTAGGGAGTAAGACTTAAAGGAGAAATGTTACCAAGAAAAACATATCTGCTGTGGAGGGACACTTAAGAATCTGTGGTTTGTGTGTTTATTTACTGTTTCTTTAAAAAAAAAAATTTTTTTTTTGACTTTTCAGTACTGGGTGGACATCATTAAACAGCAGCAGGTTGATGAATTGTACCTACAGGCTGGTTCAGCAACTGCACCTCCTCCCTCTGTGCGCTCAGATCAAAGGCAGTGCGAGATGTATCAAGTCTGAAGAGTGCAATGCCCTTATCGAAGCAGGTTGGTGTATCCTGTGCACTTACTCCCTCCGGTGCAATGACAAAGTAACATTTTTTTACCATGGAAGGATTCGTGTGTCGTTTCATGGATCTACAAGTGACCTTTAAAAAAGTACAACCTATCCAATTTGGCTGAAAACAGGTCGAAATTGGTATCGGGAAAGTTGAAATCGTAATTTTGCAATATTCCGAAGTGCCTATGTTAATTTGTTTATGTTGGACAATTGAGTTAAGCGTAGCCGGTTTAGTATTACATGACAGGTAAGCCCGAGTGTTTTTGTGTGTGTTCGCTAGCTGATACAGCGTGCCAAATATTGACACTGTATGTGGTGACAAGTCTTGACGTCGTGAATCCTCATCCCACGTAATGAACGTTTTATCTCAGCAACTTGAATGAATTCATTTTCAAACTGTTAAATATTAAACGCAGAAGTACATACGACATACTGATTCAAACGTAAGACAGTTTACAATTCTTTGTAAAATGCAAGATTTTATGTGGATCTTGTGTGCTCCACACCATTGAAATATCAACAAAATGAGGCGAAGAAGCAAAAATAGCAATCAAAAAATAACAAAAGTGCACCTTTAAAGGGTATATAAACATTTGCTTTTGCTGTTATTTTCAGAAATGGATTTATTTTGGGGGTTAGTATTTTATAGCAAATATTGTTACACTGGCTTGTTTGATGTTTTGTGTTCGTACAGTGTGGATGCTGGAAAAACCAAGAAAAACAATCCTGGTCTTGTAGTCTGGTTCCCTGACCTCACTTAAGATGAAACGGGGCAATTTATAGACGTCAAGAAATTGTAAGGTCAGGGAACCAGTCTTGCTGGCTTGTACCTGTTCATAGGCGTGTAATTGATTGCAAACAAAATGCGGACTAACTAATATGGTTAATTGAGGGCACTTTTTGAAAAGAAAGCAATTTTTTCTGACACTGGTCGGCCGACCAGTGTTGAAAATTGATACAAAGTACCACTTTTCTTGGAAACGTCAGCACACCAGGTGCCATGATTTTACAGGATGTTTTAGACTGTCATTCTCTAACAGTCCAGTAAGATATTTCACATAAATCAGGTAGTTTTGTATCGATGTTTGCAAATGTTGTGTATTCCCTTTAAGATCCCCTCAGGCAGTCTTTTGAAATGGTAATAAGCTTGGGATGAACAGTGAGACGTACGTGTAGGCTTACATGTGTTACCAATTAAGATGCAAAAGAACATTCAAAGACGAGTCGTTTGTGATTGAGTGGCCGAATACTGTCAAGATATATTTGGATGCTACTAACCCAATCATGAGAAAATAGTAACTGGGCTATCTAGGGCCAAGCACCCAGCTTGTCCAAAGGGTCAGGGTACGCCTACAAGCCTGACAAGTCCGATAACGAGAACCGACAATTACCTATACTTGTACTTGGTGAACTATAAATTATTGTGATCGGCTTGTTAACAATTGATCATCAAATAATGTGAATCGCTGCAAGATTTTGTTATTCGTCACATTTTTTGACATTTATCTACTTAAATTTGAAGGGGCTTCCATTTCTATGCAAATCTTGATGCCGTTATTTTTTCTATGCTAGCCAGCTACGAGGTTTTTTTAAATCATCATTTGATATGTCAGGATGGATATCATGGGGTGCTGTGGTTATGGTGTTCGACTCATGTCATATAGTGCATGGGTTCGAATCCTGACGAGGAACATGGTGCTTGTGCTCTTGAGCAAGGCACTTTACCATTACTGCTTCGTCCTTCGGATGGGACGTAAAGTCGCCGGTCCCGTGTGTTGTGTAATGCACATTAAAGAACCCAGTAACACTTATCGCTAAGAGAAAGGGTTTGCCCCGGTGTTTCTGGTAGTGGCTGCAATATGCGCTGCAGCACCTTGTAAACCCATATAAAGGTGCTACATAATGGGTCTCACATTTTTCATAAACATCATTTACCTGTCTTTAAAAATATACATAATTACCAGCGCCTTGAATACCTAATTGTTGGTAGATACGTGCGCTGTATAAGACCCAGTATTGGTTGCCTATGTATTTGAATCATATGCTATTGATTGGAGGTGCTAGTCAAAGTGCCTTTCATGCTACTTAAATGCTACAAAACTGCCCGTTTTGATACTTTTCTCATAAACCTTGACAAGGTTGCATGACAGTCAATAGGCTCAGCGCCGAGGCAAATGTACAGATGGTACTTTTTCCTACGGATAGCCTATTAAATGTCAATCTGTCTACTGGCGTTCCCTTGGCACTAACGAAGCCAGCATGTAGGATATGGTTTAATTGTCCCATGTTGTACAATGAATGCCAGTGACTGACCGTAATGACGTGCGCAGGGCACTGCAGATGACGGCTAGCTACACGGTTTACCGTAGAGACTGCGCCCTAAGTGGCCCGTGTTGCGGCCCTGCGGCACCGAGTACTCTATTCACATCTCTTGGTGCTCGATTAATTGACTGGGTGCGTACATGTACAAAAACCCCGTGGATATAGCCATTGAAACCCTGCTTTACGTTTTCAAGTGGAGAAATCGAAACTTCGATAGAAATCCTTTTTTTTCCACTTTGAAAACGCACTATTGCATCTGTGTAGTTATCCTGCAATCATTACTGAACCACTTTCAGGATGGGTTGATGAGTCCAGAATTACATAACACTCTTCGGTGGAGTGGATGTGCATGACCCGTCCTGAAAACTGTAAGGTGGTTCCATTTTGGAATGGATGAGAAATTTGTTCAACCACAAGTTCTTGAATCGTAAATGTATGTTTTGGAGACTAACTGTTTTTCACGATGCTAATATCTGAAATTCTGTAGTTTGTCAAAGTCTTGTACACAGTAAATATTTTATGCATATACGCGGATTAATCCCTGCTTTTTTAACCCTTACCTTCCCAACTCCATCAAAATCCCCCCCCCCCCCGCATTTTGGTGGAGTTTGGGGGACTCGGTCGTAAAGGACTGGTTTGACTAAATATTGATGGAGAATGATGGACTTGGGCCTGGAGGCCTAAAGCAAAGCATGCATTGGAAGCAGTGTGATTGATGGATTTGGACAGACTTGGTCCAATTCTTAGCAAAAGACAGTAGGGAGTTAGGGTTATGACAAAAATAAGATCTCATCATTCATTGGCGAATTTTAAGAATCTGTCATTTGTTTTATCCAATTGTTTTTTCTCAATTCAATTCAATTTATTCCAGCGAGTCCGCTATTTTAATTCTTTCAGCATACAGTAATAATAAGATTGACAAAAAATATGATGTAATCATTTACAATTTACATGTTTTCGCGTGCTGTATAGCACCATATTTAATGTCTTTCAGATCTGTTTCATAATTTTGTTAGTGAATGTTTTCATATTCCCGTAAAAGAAATTATTTACAGCGACGTAACAGTTCCCTGAACTTGCTTCCATGTACAGTTTCTCTTTAACTGATTTCACTGAATTGGCGGAAATTGTTAAAGTCCCATCTTGCCCAGACGTGTTTTATTTCACGTTTAAGTGATAGTTTGCACCCACTTCTCGTAGTGTTACATTCTTCTCACACGCATGTTGTCACGAACTTCTCGCCTAACGGACAGAATTCGTTTGTGGAGAACATTCGAATTCAAAATACCTCATTGCCACCGCACTACACTACAGGGCGAGTAAAAAAACGAAAACCCAAATGTCGGGACCATTTTTTAGTGAAGTTCTGCGTGAAGCACTTTCAAAATCTAGGATATGAAAGCCCAATTCATACGCTTTCTTTTAGTACAAGAATCATTCAAATCACTCATGCACTTTCCAGGTTGGGGAATTTTAAACAAAACCACCGTTTTAAAGTGTTCTTTCAGCAAAACGAAAGCAAGTTGCATTCATCATTCAATGTGAATTGTTTTCGTTTTGCTGAAAGAATACACACTTTTTTTTGTTATCCGTGGACAGAACTTTAAAACGGTGGTTATGTTTCAAATTCCGTATCTTGGAAAGTACATGAGTGATTTGAATGATTCTTGTGCTCAAAGAAAGCTTATGAATTGGGCTTTCATATCCTAGATTTTGAAAGTGCTACATGCAGAACTTACGAGAAGTTTTTTTTCACTCACCCTGTATTGTGATTTACATGTACATGTATATATGGATACAAGATTTAAGTCATCAAGTGACAGCAACGCAACTGTACATTTTTTTTTATGAATTATACCAGTATTTTGTGATAAAGACATGATTTGCCAGTATGCATCGTGTGAATTAACTACATGTACAATTTATACAAAGAATGAACTATATTTTTGTGTTTTTCTTGAATAATTTACAGTAATAACTCACTAATACCGTTTCAGTACTCTTTACCAATGATTGTAAAAAAATAATAATAAGATTGGAATATAATTAAGAAGATCATTTCTGAAATGAAATAAAAGAAAATGAGGCTGTTGTGCTACAATTAAACTTGAAACTGATTCGTTTTTTTTTTAATCAGGTATTACTCAACTTCGTTACATAGCTCTTAGTCCCATAAATGTGGCCAATTTACTAGACTACATGTACCTCCGTAAATAAAGGCCATACTTGGAACATGTACCTGAAAATGTAGAACTTTGTCAAATTTAGATTTTCACATTTATACTTGATTTGTTTATTTGCGCTTTAGAAGCATACTCACCCTCTTTATAGCGATGGAAAATTAGTCCCCCCTTTTTCAGACATCTACTTTTCGTGTAATTTCGTGTTGGAATTCCAAACGTGTGCAAACGCATCTGGAAATTACACGAAATATAGTTGTCTGAAAAAGGGGGACAAATTTGCTATCGCTTTAAGGAGGGTGAGTGTGCTTCTAAAGCGTAAATCAACTACAAAGTAAGTCTAAATGTGAAAATAAAAACTTGACAGAGTTCTACATTTTCGGGTACATGTTCCAAGTGTGGCCTTTATTTACTGACGGGGGTAGTCCAGTAAATTGGCCACATGGGGCTACATAGCTCTGTGTTATTCATAGCTGAAAAAAATCTTATATACACCTAAAATACCTTTCAAACACTATAGGTTTCAACCTCCCAACACCTTTGAACCTTATGTTAAACTATTGATATAGGTCTATTTGTTTAGGTTGTGTACGGACAAATTATTTTGGTAAGTCCGTGCACCTGAAATATACATGCACGTATGTATCCAAAGACAAGTTCTATGTAGAATGCTGGATCACCGATAGCAAAGAAACTGGTAAGATTCACGTATGATCCTTGTAAGACGTCTATGTTCACGACATTTATGTCACGCCTTACTTGCGGGGAGTGTGGTCTAGTGGTTAGGGTTCCTGACCCATGATCAGAGGGTCAGGGGTTAGAATCCAGCTGCTGGCCGTGTGTTGTGTCCTTGGGCAAGCCACTTCACCCCACTTGCCTGTCTCCACGGGTACCGGCATTAGCTGGGGAGTAACCTGCGATGGACTAGCATCCCATCCAGGTGGAAATAGAAATATTCTCGGTCGTTCCATGCTACTGAAACCGGAGATAAACGCCGGCCTGATGGGCCACATTGGCTCGTAACAGACTTGACTTTGTGTTACTTAATTAGTGACGCAGATTGGCAATTTCCGTATATAGACTTTTCAAAACTCCATAGGTATCAGGCATGGTACCGGCGAATTAGTTGCATTTCAAAAACATAAACATTCAAACGTG